CATTGGGGAGGGCTGTGGGGGAAAATGAGAGATTCGGGAGGGCTGTGGGGGGAATGAGAGATTGGGGAGGGTTGTGGGGGGGGAAATTAGAGTTTGGGGAGAGCAGGGGGGAATAAGACACATTGGGGAAAACTGTGAGGGAATGAGACAATTCAGTAATTTACCATAACTACTGCTGGCAATAATAGTTCCCTGTGATAAACTGCATCCAGAAGTATGATCGGTTGCCTAGAACAGCTCAAGGTGGATATTGTAGAACATGATTATTAGTGAGGAACACAGCAATAGCTGGGCTTTAATTATAATTAAGAGGGCAAGTACATGGGACTGTCACTGTAAATCTCCCATCATAAAATGTATAAGTGAAGATGTGTATGCCTACCATCACAAAGGGTACAACCTGGGCCGGATATTCACCCAATCCACACAACTTAGTCCAGCTCCCAATCCACGCAACCCGGTCCATCAACCAATCCTCAGAAACCGCGGCCTGTTCCTCACCCATTCCCCTCAGTCTGCAACCTGGCTCATCAACCAATCCCCACAACCCCGGCCCATCACCCAATCGCCGCAACACGGGCCGGTCCTTCACCCATAGCTTCTAACATTTCACATGAACAAAGAGGGACAGTTAAATTTTAGGGATGTGACTGGGATATGTTTAAAGACACATTACTGGGAGTATTATTGCTGTGGAGCTCTGTTATACACTCAGACACATTACTGGGAGTATTATTGCTGTGGAGCTCTGTTATACACTCAGACACATTACTGGGAGTATTATTGCTGTGGAGCTCTGTTATACACTCAGACACATTACTGGGAGTATTATTACTGTGGAGCTCTGTTATACACCCAGACACACCAACAATACGGAGCTCCTAGAAAAGAGGAACAGAGGGATACGGGCTGAAAATAGGGGGGTATCACCTATTCACCACAACCTAAGAAGGTCCTTCATTAAATCACTCCAGTTCAGGTACATCCCTTATTTAAACACCAAAACCCTTGTAGGTCCCTCACCAAATTATTCCATTCCAAGCATGACACTCACCAAAATAATTCCTGTTGACTCGCATATGTTATTTACCTCACAATTGTCCCTCACACAAGCACTTACTTTTCACCAAGCAAAATGTTTATCCCACTCAAATTTTCCACTACTCACCCAGAGCTGCAAAGCCCTCCTACACCCAGAGATGGATTCAGGCCTAAAGGTCAAAGAGGCAAACATACAAAACCTGGGCCAAGGAATTTCTGGAATAACGACCAGAAACCAAAAAAGCTTTGGCAAACCTCAAAACATGGAGCTAGTATACTAAACCCTAAAACCTGGGTCTGGAAGCCAAATCCAAAGCAAAGAAGCCATTCTCAGTGAAACAAGAAAGCTAAACACAAATCCGGGAGCTGGAATATCCCAGTGCAATATATGCAATATAAAGGATTCTCTGTGCAATATGTGCAATATGAAGGCTTCCCGGTGCAATATATGCAATATAAAGGATTCCTAGTGCAATATATGCAATATGAAGGCTTCCCGGTGCAATATGTGCAATATAAAGGATTCTCTGTGCAATATATGCAATATGAAGGCTTCCCGGTGCAATATAAAGGATTCCTAGTGCAATATATGCAATATGAAGGCTTCCCGGTGCAATATATGCAATATAAAGGATTCCTAGTGCAATATATGCAATATGAAGGCTTCCCAGTGCAGTATATTCAATATAAAGGATTCTCGGTGCAATACTTGCACAGACAGCCGCCTTAGGGCGCACCGGCTCTGGGGGCGCAAGATTTCAGTAACCGGCAGGAGGGAAGCTCTCCCTCCTGCCAGGCCATCTTCTGGACCCTCGGCGCGGCGTGCGACTGTGATATAATCAGAGGTGGTGTGTGTGTCTGTGAGTGATTGTATGAGTGTGTGTGCATGTGAGTGTATGTGTGTATATGTGAGTGTATTTGTCAGTGTATGAGTGTGTGTCTGTCAGTGTGTGTTTGTGACTGTCAAATCAGTAAGAGTATGTTTGTCATTGAGTCTGTGTGTGACTATCAGTGTGTCTGTCAATGAGTGTCAATCAGTGTGTGTCTGTCAGGGTGTGTGTGTGTAAGTCAATGAATGAGTGTGTGTCAGATTAGTGAGTCTGTGTCTGTCAGTGACGTCTGTGTGTTTGTCATTGAGTGTGTGTGACTGTCAATGTGTATACCACGCAGTTTGGCGGAGCTTATGTTTTCTGTACCCGGCCAGAGTGACAGGAGAGCACTCCCTGTCAATACGGCTGGGTACAGAAAACTGTAGGGGATCTGCTCTGCTCGGCAATGCTACAAGAGAGGTAGGAGGCTGTGACGAAACCGACCTCGACACTGGGCATTGGAGAAGCCTGTTTGCCCGCCTCCTGCCTGCTGACTATGGTCCCTGGGAGATTTGACCCTTTAAATACATGATTTGGGCATAATGTGGTTCACCCAGATCCCCCGGTTCCAAGGATATACTTTTTATGGGGTTATTGCATGTTTTGGGGTCCCTGTGATATGTTTTATAATGTGTTTCTCTGTCTGTGATAATTAGATTAACCATTGTGTTCAGTAATCATATCACAGGCAAAGGGGAGGATTTTGTGTGGGAGTGTCTGTGTGTATTGTACGGATTGATTGGTTGTATTTCAAAACCCTGTGGGCAGTACTATATTTGTGGATTGTGAATAAAAGAGGCTGTATATGCCAGTCCAGTCAGTTCTGCTTGACCTCAAAACGAAGTGTCGTCTCGTTATTGGGGGAATTGGATTGTATGCTGATTGCCAGGAGTGTAAGCTGATTGTATGCTTTTCCTGTTCAACTGCTTACAGCATTCAAATGCTTGAGAGCATTCGTATGCTTCTCCGGTTCGGTGTTTGTGGTGTCTGCTGCAGTGCTTGGAGTCCTCAGGAAGCACTCCTTCAACGGAGGTACCCAATCGGGGTGCCGTCGATCCGTTACAGAGGCACACCACTAAGGGGGTGGAGGGTGCACCAATGGACAGGGAGGGGAGAGAAACACCAAGGGACACCAAGGGAAAGGGAAAAAAGGGGGGAGGGAAGAGGAACACTAAGGGACAGGGAAGGGAGGGGACCACTAATAGACGGGGAGGGGAGAGGGGCTGGTTAAGAGACACATAGGTGAAGATGTTATTTGGGGGGGATCTTCGCCTATGTACCTAAAAATCCTTGCACCGGCCCTGACAGTATGGCTATGGTTCGTATCCGGTCACAGTATCGCTATGGTTCGTACTTGTTCATAGTATGGCTATGGATCGTACTCGGTCGCTATGGTCCATACTCGGTCACAGTATGGCTATGGTTTGTACTCTGTAACAGTATCGCTGTGGTCCGTACTCGGTCACAGTATGGCTGTGGTCCGTACTCGGTCATAGTTTGGCTATGGTATGTATTCTGTAACAGTATGGCCATGGTTCGTACTTGGTCACAACATCGCTATCGTTCATACTCAGTCACAGTATGGCTATGGTCCGTACCCGGTCACAGCATGGCTATGGTTAGTACTTGGTCACAGTATCGCTATGGTTCGTACTTGGTCACAGTATGGCTATGGTTTGTACTTGGTCACAGTATGGCTAGGGTTAGTACTCGGTCACAGTATGGCTATAGTTTATACAATGTAACAGTATCGCTATGGTCCGTACTCAGTCATAGTATAGGTATGGTTCATACACGGTCACAGTATGGCTATTGTTCAGTATGGCTATTGTTCGTACTCGGTCACAGTCAGAGTATGGCTTTGGTTCATACTCAGTCACAGTATGGCTATAGTCCATATTCTGTAACAGTATCGCTATGGTCCATACTCGGTCACAGTATGGCTATGGTTTGTACTCGGTCATAGTATGGCTATGGTCTGTACTTGGTCTGGGGTGGTACCTGTTCGGGAGACGAATGGGGTACATTCATATGATCGCTCCCAAACTGGAAAACTGGCATAACACATGAAAAGGCTATGGAAAACACACAAATGAATATGGTTCATACTCGGTCACAGTATGGCTATGGTTTGTACTCTGTAACAGTATCGCTGTGGTTTGTACTCGGTCACAGTATGGCTATTAGATTGGAAGTTGAGATTACAATATATGCAATAAACGACTCAACTGGAAATATTAGGGACTCCATTAAAAATCCCCATATTTGCAAATAAAAAAGGGTAGGTATTAGATAAAATCTAATAGTAATCCAGGAGTATCGCTGTAACGGCACCCCCAGGCATAAAAGGGGTTAACAGCCGTTTAGTAGATCTTCCCTTCCAGATATACAGGCAGCTACTGTAGACACCAATCCACCGAACCGGAGAAGCATACGAATGCTCTTAAACATACGAATGCTGTAAACAGCCGAATAGGAAAAACCATACGAAAGGTTTACACTCCTAGCAGCTGAACTGGAACAGCATACAATAAATCCCCCCCCCCCCAAGAACGAGACATAGCTCTGTGTTGAGGGTCAAGCAATGATCTCACAGAGCTGTGGGTTTATTGTTCTTATATACACATTCTTACACATTCATGGTTCACCTGTGGCTGATCACTGATTAGCCAGGTATAAGACACTGCCTCTCCCTGAGGGCAGTGTCAGTTCATTGACTCTGGTTCCGTATTGCTGTTTCGTGTTCTCCTGTTTATTCCTGACCTTGGCTTGTTATTTCGTGTACCCTGACTTCTGACATCCTCTGACCTCTGCTCTCTACTGGTTTATCCTGATTTCTGGCACCCACTGACCTTTGGTTTACCAACGATGATTCTCCTGTTTATGTCCGGATCTTCACTGCGACTTGGAGCATCATCCTGCGGAGCCCCCGTGCACCGACTCACAGGCCAGGTGAATTCTTACCTGACCACCTTGGCCTGTGTTTACTTGCAAGGGTGAGCATATATCTGCGCTACAGACTCCCAACCAAGGTAAGCCCTGACACATAGTCTAAAGGCAGCAGGCGGACAACCATGCTGCTCCAATGCACAGTGGCATGATTGGTCTCGTCACAATCGCTATAATATCACTATGGTTTGAACTCTGTAACAGTATAGCTGGGATCCGTTCTTGGTCACCGTATGCTTATTGTCCGTACTCTGTCACAGTATCACTGTGGTCCATACTCGGTCACAGTATGGCTATGGTTCGTACTCTGTCACACTATGGCTATGGTTCATACTCGGTCACAATATGGCTATCGTTTCTACTCTGTAACAGTATCACTGTGGTCCATACTCAGTCACAGTATGGCTATGGTCCGTACTCAGTCACAGTATGGCTATGGTAGGATAAAATAAGTAATAAAACAATAGTCTAATAAAATAGGCTTATCACAGTCCATGAGGGTAGGTCCCACTTGTAAAGGAATATTCTTTAGAGTGTAGGTGGGACTACATGCGCTTGCATATAAACGGCTCTACCTCTTATCCTTTGAATGAGGCTGGACAGCTCCCCCTTACACTATATGCCACAGAGCATCATGTGACGCGGAAGTACTTCTTATCCCGCGTCACGTGACCGTTTTCTTTATTTTTTTATTTAAAAAGTAAATTATAACCTTCGTTTTAATATTTAAATAATGCAAATATGCTTTTTATCATTGTATTGTCAATTTTTATGTGTGCAATAACTGTTTTATAATAACTTCCCTGTATTATCTAATATGCTAATTTTATGACGTCATTTTGGCGGGAATTTTAAATTTAAAGTACTATTACACACTATATAAGCTTATGTATGTCAGGTATGCCCCCCCTCTTTCCCACTATCTACTTGAAGAAGCCTGTTAAGGCGAAACGCGTTTAGATATTAATAGATTTTGTTCTTAATTTTATAATAAAGATATTTTATTGGCATAAAATACTTTATTGCCATTTGTTTTCTCCTTTACCTGATTTTACATACATTTTCTTTTATTGCTTTTACGTATACGGCTCACCCTGCAGGAAGTACAAAGAATCCATAGGTGGGGATTATACCACCCAAGCGCCCTCACTGAGCAGTTTTGAGTCTGCTCTACTTTACGTGAGTAGTATACTTTACTTTCTTTTAATTTTATTACATACAGTGAGCACTATATATTTTATTTCATTTTTTCCTCTGGGTCGTATTACGTCAAATTGAACGCTGAACCCACGTCAGATATTCAACTATCAAAATTTACTCCATATATCCTTGAAGTGGGGATTATTCCACTTTACGCGAGCAATATCAGAGCTGATCCTAGCTCTGAAAAGTGTGAGTAAGACTGATTTTATACTTTTATATTTATTTTATACACCGATTTACTGTGCCATTGGAGTCCTGTTTTTATTTTTCTCTCCACATATGCTGATTTCTCAACATTTGAAGATAAGATCCCACCTACACTCTAAAGAATATTCCTTTACAAGTGGGACCTACCCTCACGGACTGTGATAAGCCTATTTTATTGGACTATTGTTTTATTACTTATTTTATTCTGTATTTTATCTGACTAATTTAGTCTTTTATCAAGTTTTAGGCGCATCCTTATATCTCTGTTTGTTCTTGCTATCTGTTACCATTAGGGGATTATTGGGGACTCCCCTTTGAGGAGTGCTGCCTTTCTTATAATTTTATTGTGGCAATTTAGCACTGTTTTTTTCTCTTTTTACAGTATGGCTATGGTCCGTACTCGGTCACAGTATGGCTATGGTTTCTACTCGGTCACAGTATGGCTATGGTTTCTACTCGGTCACAGTATGGCTATGGTTTCTACTCGGTCACAGTATGGCTATGGTTTCTACTCTGTAACAGTATTGCTGTGGTCCGTACTCGGTTATAGTATGGCTATGGTATGTATGCCGTAACAGTATGGCTATGGTTCGTACCCGGTCACAGTATGGCTATGGTTCGTACTCAGTCACAGTCTCAGTATGGCTACTCGGTCACAGTATCACTGCGGTCCGTACTCGGTCACAGTATCACTGCGGTCCGTACTCGGTCACAGTATCACTGCGGTCCGTACTCGGTCACAGTATCACTGTGGTCCATACTCGGTCACAGTATCACTGTGGTCCGTACTCGGTCACAGTATGGCTATGGTATGTATTCTGTAACAGTATGGCAATGATTCCTACTCGGTCACAATATGGCTATGGTTTGTACTCTGTAACAGTATCGCTGTGGTCCATAATCGGTCACAGTATGACTATGGTCCGTTCTCGGTCACAATATCACTGTGGTCCATACTCAGTCAAGGTATGGCTATCGTTTGTATTCTGTAACAGTATGGCTATGGTTCATACTAGGTCACTATATCGCTATGGTTCGTACTCCGTCACAGTATGGCTATGGTTCGAACTCGGTCTCGGTATCACTATGGCCCATACTCGGTCACAGTATGGCTATGGTTTGTACTCTGTAACAGTATCACTGTGGTCCGTACTCGGTCACAGTATCACTGTGGTCCGTACTCGGTCACAGTATCACTGTGGTCCGTACTCGGTCACAGTATCACTGTGGTCCGTACTCGGTCACAGTATCACTGTGGTCCGTACACGGTCACAGTATGGCTATGGTATGCATTCTGTAACAGTATGGCAATGGTTCTTACTCAGTTAAAGTATCGCTATGGTCTGTACTTGGTCACAATATGGCTATCGTTTGAACAAAGTAACTGTATCGCTGGGGTCCGTTCTTGGTCACTGTGACGAATTGCACTTCATCACTGGGTTTTGGAGAGGGCTACTTGTTAGCCTTTTACCTTTTGACTATGGCACTATTTCTGCCTATTGGAATTGTGGACAATGGCTCTTTAAACTTTCTAAGTAATCGAAATGGCACTCTGGATACAGCCGAAGTGTTGAAGTCGTCGAAGTGGCCGCCATTCGACATTCGAAGACGTGGTGGTGGCCATTTTGTTTAGTCGAACGTGTTCATCTGTGTTTTGTAGTTGAGTTCATGGAACTCAAATCGGACACGCGATGGCACAAACACCGCTGAACTTTACCTTTGACAGGAGTCGAACAGCGTTCGACAATTTGAACACCACTTTAACATTGGTTATTTGCACAAACGGCCCCCGTTCGTGCATTCGAATGGAACTTAGTATTGGAAATAGACGGCCGCACAGCCATATTCTCTGGAACTGTTTTGAGCATGTGGTCGGTCAAAAGAGACTTCAATGGAACTTTTGAACCCCTGCTCTGATCTGGGTGATTTTGGGATATGTTGTTCACCCAGATCAGGGCTATCCAGGAATGTATAATTTATGGGGATATGTTTGAGTTTTGGGGTGTTTCTGTACTTTGGGTAAAAATGGGTATTTTCTGTGGATAATTAAGTTATTCCATTAGCTATCTTAATTATATCACAGGCAGAGGGGAGGGCTTGCTGACTGTATGTGGGAGTGTTACAGTAATAATTATTGGTTTGTGTCCCTTTTGTCCCGGTGTTCCATCAGGTCCAGGGGGTGTGCCCCTGGCCAGAAAATGTGTATAAAAGAAATGCAAGTCTTCTTACCCTCAACTCGCAGCCTCGACTCGTGTTGTAGGGTACTGCTATATCTCACTGGGGATTGCTATACGCTGTATGCTAATCACTAGCTCTTGTAAGAGCTCTACAGTTCTTCCTGTTTCGCTCTCTGAAGGAAGAGAGGTTCATCCACTGGAGCCTGGAGCCTTGTCGCAGACTGTGAGACCCCAACCAAGCGGCGGCAGTTTGTGGGGTCTGCAGTGCTTATGGTGTCTGCTGCGGTGCTGATGGTCCTTGGTAAGCACTAGAAGCATCGATTGATGGAGGGTCCGTCACAGTCACAGTATGGTTATTGTCCGTACTCGGTCACAGTATGGCTATCGTTTGTATTCTGTAACAGTATGGCTATGGTTCGTACTCGGTCACAGTATGGCTATGGTTTGTACTCTATAACAGTATCGCTGTGGTCCATACTCAGTCACAGTATGGCTATGGTCCATACTCAGTCACAGTATCACTGTGGTCCATACTCGGTCACAGTATTGCTATCGTTTGTATTCTGTAACACTATGGCTATGGTTCGGACTCAGTCACAGTATCAGTATGGTTCACACTCGGTCACAGTATGGCTATGGTTCGTACCCTGTAACAGTATCACTGTGGTTCATACTCGGTCACAGTATTGCAATGGTTCAGACTAGGTCAATGTATGGCTATGGTTCATACTCGGTCACAGTATGGTTATGGTTCAGACTAGGTCAATGTATGGCTATGGTTCATACTCGGTCACAGTATGGATATGTTTTTTTTTTACATTCTTTATTTATTATTTTATCCATTTTTTCATTGTGGAAAGATAATACAATTACAACCTTAGAAAAAGGCCAATAACATAGGTCAGAGAGAATCACTGTTGTCAAAAAATACAGCAAGTTGAGAGTGTCTAAACTTAGAAATATAACCAAAACTGTAACCGCAAGTACCCTCCATGGCAACAAAAGTGGCCACACTCCTAATACCCCTCCGAGAATCATGTGGGACGTGCGCAGAGCGGGACATGGTAGGTGCATTTATCCCTTATACATCGTTAAGCTGTGAATCGTATCCATCCTGTTTGTCTACGATCTGTCCCTGGGGGCCAATTGGTGCGCCCGCCCGTGACCCCAATCCCCGTTAGCCCCCCTCAACCTCCAGTTTGCATGAGATATATGTTAATGTCAGGGTGGCCTCTGGCCTACCTGCCCCCCCTCCCATCCCCCACCAGTTTTGCTGGAAGCCCCTATAGAACAAACCTGGCGGCTATTGCCTGGGTAATCCATTTGGCTCAGTTCAAACCACCAGTGTTTGACAGAGAGTGTAGGAAGATTATCCCCCCCCCCGGCCCCAGGGAGGCGTAGTCGACCTCCTGCCCTCAGGCTAAATCCCCTCTTTAATGTGCACCTCCCACCTACCCCGACAAAGATCGAGAACCCTGTAACCCCCTCTACATCCAGTGCCTACACGGCCTACAGCCCTCCCTAGCCTTGTGTCTCCCCCCCGGTTCCCCAAATTGATCTGCGTGCTTGGTTAGGGGCATGAAGAGTTTATAAGCCTATACCCGTGCAGTCCCCCAGGTCGTCATCCGTTGGGATATCGGGATGGGGAAGGGAGGGGGGTAGTCATAGCTGTACGGTCGGGTAAGTGCAGCCCCCAAGTTAGTCAGGACTACGTGTATTTGTCAGTCTGTTGGGGGAGAAATAAGTTGTGCCGGTGCAGGGGCGCCCCCACCCCCGGATCAGCCACCCCCCGCGGCCCCTCTCGCTGTGTACTCCATCCATGGAAACCATGTTACAGCACATTTATCCGAGCGTCCCTGCAGAGACGCCGTCATCATTTCCATGTTGTAGATCATTTCTACTCGGTCTACCCACTGGCGAAAGGAAGGAGCTATCGGTTTTCTCCATAGTGTGGGGATAAGCGATTTTGCCGCCGTGAGTAGGTGTATAACGAGGCCCTTTTTGTACATGGTCACTGGCATGCTCGTGTAATTCAGCAGCATCGGCAACGGCTGGAAAGGGATGTCTATCCCCGTTACGTCCTTAATTGCTTGATGTAGCTCTCGCCAGAAAGGCTCAATGCGTGGGCATGCCCACCATATATGAATCCCGGTGCCATCCGCAGCGCCACACCTCCAGCACTCACCCGAGATGGACTCGTGGACATGACGAAGGATGTCCGGGGTTCTGTGCCAACGCGTCAGTATCATATAATTGCATTCCTGAAACTTTGAGCTAATGGTCCCCTTGTGCGACAGTTGGAAGATTTGTTGCCACTCCGTATCAGACAGCTTGATCCCTGTTTCCCTTTCCCATCGTATCGTAAAGCCTAAAGGGCTGTGGTCCCTGCAGTTTTGCAGCATGGAATATAGGTGTGAGATGCCGTGGGGGAGATGCTGTCTGACTACGCAGAGTTGTTCGAAGACAGTGTGTGGTGAAGGTGAGCCTTCCCAGCGAGGGAGGCTACATATGTTTTGAGCTGGTAGTAGCGATATTTGTCAAGGGTGCTTGGTTCGCGGTCTTGGAGGAGATCCGCCAGTGGTTTAAGGGCTAGTCCATTACACCACTGGTGCAGGTTGGATATGGGTTTCACTCAGTTACAGTATGGCTATGGTTCGTACTCGGTTACAGTATGGCTATGGTTCGTACTCGGTCACAGTATGGCTATGGTTCGTACTCGGTCACAGTATGGCTATGGTTCGAACTCGGTTACAGTATGGCTATGGTCCGTACTCGGTCACAGTATGGCTATGGTTCGTACTCAGTTACAGTATGGCTATGGTTCGTACTCGGTTACAGTATGGCTATGGTTCGTACTCGGTCACAGTATGGCTATGGTTCGTACTCGGTCACAGTATGGCTATGTTTCGTACTCGGTTACAGTATGGATATGGTTCGTACTTGGTTACAGTATGGATATGGTTCGTACTCGGTTATAGTATGGATATGGTTTGTACTCGGTCACAGTATGGATATGGTTTGTACTCTGTCACAGTATGGATATGGTTCGTACTCGGTCACAGTATGGCTATGGTTCGTACTCTGTCACAGTATGGCTATGGTTCGTATTCTGTAACAGTATGGCTATGGTCTGCATAGAACTCACACAGGTGACCAGAATGATGATTATGTCAGGACTGTCCAGCATTTTGGGATCCAAGCAAGAATAGACCCCAGGGATGTACAGCGCTCTGTGCACGGTCTGCCATGAGGACAAGCTGTCACTCATTATCTTTAGGTGCTGGCTCTGATCTTTGATGTGGACCCACCCTGTGCCCTGTGCAGTCTGCTCCCTGCCCATCCACCTCCGTCCTGGAAGGTAGGCAGTGAACCTCCGCAGGTATATACACATACACATTTAACAGTACTTTATTTTATTGCTGCGGAGCTCTGTGATACATGCATACACACTGCACATTACTGTAGGTTTTGTGGAGCACTGTAATACACTCATACACTGCACATTACTGTGAGTTTTACACATGGGCTGACAGTCACTGTAGCGGAGTAGTGGTATTATCCACGGTATCTCCGCTGGTAGACAGGATGAAGCAGGTAAAATGTAGGTAAAATGCAGGTAGCGTAGTCACACACACACACACACAGGCAGACAGTCACACACACACACACACACACACAGACACGCACAGGCAGACAGTCATACACACACACACAGGCAGACAGTCATAGACACGCAGACAGTCACACTCATACTGACAATTACATATAGTTACCTCTGTTCATTGTTCATTGCAGTGCAGCTCCTGGAGACTGTTTGTTTGTTGGGGAAGCAGGGACTCTTTCCTGCAGCAGTTATCTGCCACTTTTAGCTCCGCCCCTGCCGTCAGTTTTGCTCAGCCCCCGCCGCACGTGAAACTCCACCCCCGCCACAAATTTATTTCATTTTTTTAAAATCCCAGCCGGCCATGTGTGAGCTGTGTTGGCCGCACGGCTCCCCCTGCTCCGTGGCGCCCTGTGCATAGCTCACACACCCCTAAGGCCGGCCTGCTCATAGACACTGTATATTATTGGGAGTCGTACTCCTACTTTTACCCTTTGTGTCACTATACCCCACTCACTCTAGAATGTAAACTCAGAATGTAAACTCACTGAGCAGGACCCTCAATCCCTCTGTTACTGTGTCACTATACCCCACTCCCTCTAACGTAAACTCACTGAGCATGACCCTCAATCCCTCTGTTACTGTGTCACTATACCCTACTCCCTCTAACATGTAACCTCACTGAGCAGGGCCCTCAATCCCTCCGTTACTGTGTCACTATACCCCACTCCCTCTAACATGTCAGCTCACTGAGCAGGGCCTCAATCCCTCGGTTACTGTGTCACTATACCCCACTCCCTCTAACATGTAAACTCACTGAGCTCGGTTACAGTATGGCTATGGTCCGTACTCGGTCACAGTATGGCTATGGTTCGTACTCAGTTACAGTATGGCTATGGTTCGTACTCGGTTACAGTATGGCTATGGTTCGTTACTGTGTCACTATACCCCACTCCCTCTAACATGTAAACTCATTGAGCAGGGCCCTAAATCCCTCTGTTACTGTGTCACTATACCCCACTCCCTCTAGCATGTAAACTCACTGAGCAAGGCCCTCAATCCCTCTGTTACTGTCACTATACCCCACTCCCTCTAGCATGTAAACTCACTGAGCAGGGCCCTCAATCCCTGTAACGGATCACCTGGCACCCTGACCGGGTACCTCCGTTGAAGGATGCTCCTAGCGCTTACAGAGGGCTCCAAGCACTCCGCAGACACCACAACCACCGCAGACCCCACTGTGACGAGACCAATCTCGCCACATTGCATTGGAGAAGCCTGGTTGCTCGCCTGCTGCCTTTGGACTATGGTCCCCTTTTAAAAGATTTTATTTTTGCCTGCAGAAAAGCTGTATTCGTGATTTTCTGCCGGTTGTTCGGTAGTTTCAATCTACCGAACAACTGTACGAATGACTGGACCACCTGGGAGCTGGAGTGTGCCGGCAATTAACCTCCCTGAAGCTGCGGTTAACCGCAGCTTAATTGATGAATGCTGGGTGGCCGCCATTCGTATCCCGAACACGAGGTCGCGGCCATTTTAAACCATACGAATGAACAGCGGTGTTCGCCTCTATTTTCATGGAACTAAAATCGAACACAGTTTTGCGCGAACACCGCTGAAGCCGCCGACCTCCCTTCTTGTTCGGTGAAAGTGCACGAACGGCCCGGTGTTCGGTATTTTTGTTCAAATATGTTATACCCCAGATAGGAATCCCATGGAGCCCATTCGTATGAAACTGACTGTAAAGACTTTGGCTCCATGGCGATTAAACTGTATTCGTGTGGTCTGAGTGCCATTCACTTAATAATGTGCACTCAGACCTGAGCTATCTGGGGATATGTTACATGTCTGTGTTTTATGTAATAAATGTTACTTTGTGTATTTTAAAGTATAATGCTGGTTTTGTGTCCCCACATGTGTAATGGAGTTTTGCCTTTGTCTTGGGAGATAATTGAGTTACTTCCCAATTATCTCCCAGGGCAGAGGGGAGGAAGCCAGGATGCATTGTGGGAGATACTGTGACTGTGTGTCCTATTTGTCTAATTGTCTGTCTTTTGTCACAGTCTCCCATTTGGTCCCCTAGGGGAGTGTCCAAAAGGTGGGAGACCTGCATAAATACTGGGCAGGTAGCCCTCATTAAACAGACCACTGCTTGACCCTCAACACGGAGACTTGTCTCGTCTTTGGGGGGATTTACTGTATGCTGCTAAGGACTGATTGCCAGGAGTGTAAGCCGCTTGGGAGCTTTTCCTGTTCGTCTGCTAGCAGCTATTCGTATGGTTCCTGTTCGTTTATTTGGAGTGCTACCTTATTCCCTTGTATGCCATTCGGGAGTTTGGAGCATTCACTTATTGGCGGTTCGTGAGTTTTGGTGATTCTACAGTAGCTGTGCCTGTCTCTAAAAGGGGGATTATCGTCTAAGCGTTTTTTTTTCCCCTTTTGTGCAAAATGGTCCGTTACACCCACTAACCACCTCAGCTTGGTTGGGGTCTCGCCGTCTCCTACCCAACCTGGACCTACGACAAGGCCAGTGGGTGAATCTCTCCTCCAAGAGAGTGAAGCAGGAACAAGCTCTTAAAAGAGCTTAGTAGTGATTAGCTAAAGGAGTATGCAGAGCATAGCAATCCCTTGACGTGATACAGCAATTCCCCCAATAAGAGACAGGACTCTAGATTGAGGGTGAAGTAGAACTGACTGTATTGGCACATACAGCCTCTTTTATTCACAATCCACAAACATAGTACTGCCCACAGGGTTTTGAAATACAACCAATCAATCCGTACAATACACACAGACACTCCCAAACAAAATCCTCCCCTTTGCCTGTGATATGATTATACCCCATTCCCTCTAACATGTAAACTCACTGAGCAGGGCCCTCAATCCCTCTGTTACTGTGTCACTATAACCCACTCCCTCTAAAATGTAAACTCACTGAGCAGGGCCTCAATCCCTCTGTTACTGTGTGTGGCGAAACCGACCTCGCCACTGGGCATTGGAGAAGACTGATTGCCAGCCTCCTGCCATGTGACTATGGCCCCTGGGATGTATTGCCCTTTAAAGACATGATTTGGGCATAAGGGATTTGTGTTGTGCTGCTGGCCCTTTAAGAACCATCTGGGGACATACTGTGGAGTTACTGGGTGGCCACCATTTCCTGTATCAGAGGCACATGGTGAGAACAATGGATGAAGCACATGGTAAGAACAATGGATGGCAGCCATTTTAACTCACAGACACTGTTTGGACTTTTCAACAGGGTGCCATCTTGCCGGTATTTGGTGCACAGAGACATCGTGCAGTGGTTTTGGACTATACAACAGGGGACACATTATACAGTAATTGTTTTTCATTTAGCCTGCATATGTTCTGTGGAATCTGCATTAAACTGTATCTTCCAAAGTATTGAACGGATCTGGGTGAATTTTGGATATGTGGTTCATCCAGATCCCCTGGTTCCAAGGATATTCCTATATTTTTATGGGATTAATGCATGTTTAGGGGTCCCTGTGATGTGTTTTATGATAATGTATTTCTCTGTCTGTGATAATTAGATTAACCATTGTGTTCAGTAATCATATCACAGGCAGAAAGGAGGATTTTGTGTGGGAGTGTCTGTGTGTATTGTACAGATTGATTGGTTGTTCTGTAAAACCCTGTAGGCGGTACTAAGTTTGTGGATTGGGAATAAAAGAGGCTGTATGTGCCAGTACAGTCAGTTCTGCTTGACCTTCAAAACAAAGTGTTGTCTTGTTACTGGGGGAATCTGCTACAAGGGATTGCTATGCTTGTCATACTCCCTTGCTATATCACTACTAAGCTCTTCTAAGAGCTTGTTCCTGTCTTGCTCTCTGGAGGAGTCTACAGTGGTTATGGTGTCTGCTGCAGTGCTTGGAGCCCTCAGGAAGCACCAGGAGCATCCTTCAACGGAGGTACCCAGTCGGGGTGCCAGGTGATCCGTTACACTGGCACCCCCTCCCTCTAACATGTAAACTCACTGAGCAGGGCCCTCAATCCCTCTGTTACTGTCACTATACCCCACTCCCTCTAATATGTAAACTCACTGAGCAGGACCCTCAATCCCTCTGTTACTGTGTCACTATAACCCACTCCCTCTAACATGTAAACTCACTGAGCAGGAACCTCAATCCCTCTGTTACTGTGTCACTATACCCCACTCCCTCTAACATGTAAACTCACTGAGCAGGCTCTCAATCCCTCTGTTACTGTCACTATACCCCACTACCTCTAACATGTAAACTCACTGAGCAGGGCCCTCAATCCCTCTGTTACTGTGTCACTATACCCCACTCCCTCTAACATGTAAACTCACTGAGCAGGCCTCAATCCCTCACTGATGCACTGAGCAGGCCCTCAATCCCTCTGTTACTGTGTCACTATACCCCACTCCCTCTACATGTAAGCTCCACTCCCTCTACTGCATGTAAACTCACTGAGCAGGCCCTCAATCCCTCTGTTACTGTGTCACTATACCCCACTCCCTCTAACATGTAAACTCACTGAGCAGGGCCTCAATCCCTCTGTTACTGTCACTATACCCCACTCCCTCTAACATGTAAACTCACTGAGCAGGCCCTCAATCCCTCTGTTACTGTGTCACTATACCCCACTCCCTCTAACATGTAAACTCACTGAGCAGGGCCTCAATCCCTCTGTTACTGTGTCACTATACCCCACTCCCTCTAACATGTAAACTCACTGAGCAGGGCCCTCAATCCCTCTGTTACTGTGTCACTATACCCCACTCCCTCTAACATGTAAACTCACTGAGCCAGGCCCTCAATCCCTCTGTTACTGTGTCACTATACCCCACTCCTCTAACATGTAAACTCACTGAGCAGGCCCTCAATCCCTCTGTTACTGTGTCACTATACCCCACTCCCTCTAACATGTAAACTCACTGAGCAGGCCCTCAATCCCTCTGTTACTGTGTCACTATACCCCACTCCCTCTAACATGTAAACTCACTGAGCAGGGCCCTCAATCCCTCTGTTACTGTGTCACTATACCCCACTCCCTCTAACATGTAAACTCACTGTGCAGGCCCCTCAATCCCTCTGTTACTGTGTCTCTATACCCCACTCCCTCTAACATGTAAACTCACTGAGCAGGGCCCTCAATCCCTCTGTTACTGTGTCACTATACCCCACTCCCACCAACATGTAAACTCACTGAGCAGGCCCTCAATCCCTCTGTTACTGTGTCACTATACCCCACTCCCTCTAACATGTAAACTCACTGAGCAGGACCTCAATCCCTCTGTTACTGCCACTATACCCCACTCCCTCTAACATGTAAACTCACTGAGCAGGGCCTCAATCCCTCTGTTACTGTGTCACTATACCCCACTCCCTCTCACATGTAAACTCACTGAGCAGGGCCTCAATCCCTCTGTTACTGTGTCACTATACCCCACTCCCTCTAACATGTAAACTCACTGAGCAGGGCCTCAATCCCTCTGTTACTGTCACTATACCCCACTCCCTGTAACATGTAAACTCACTGAGCAGGGCCCTCAATCCCTCTGTTACTGTGTCACTATACCCCACTCCCTCTAACATGTAAACTCACTGAGCAGGCCCTCAATCCCTCTGTTACTGTGTCACTATACCCCACTCCCTCTAACATGTAAACTCACTGAGCAGGGCCCTCAATCCCTCTGTTACTGTGTCACTATACCCCACTCCCTCTCACATGTAAACTCACTGAGCAGGGCCCTCAATCCCTCTGTTACTGTGTCACTATACCCCCTCCCTCTAACATGTAAACTCACTGAGCAGGCCCTCAATCCCTCTGTTACTGTGTCACTATACCCCACTCCCTCTAACATGTAAACTCACTGAGCAGGGCCCTCAATCCCTCTGTTACTGTCACTATACCCCACTCCCTCTAGCATGTAAACTCACTGAGCAGGCCTCAATCCCTCTGTTCCTGTGTCACTATACCCCACTCCCTCTAACATGTAAACTCACTGAGCAGGCCCTCAATCCCTCTGTTACTGTCTCACTATACCCCACTCCCTCTAACATGTCAACTCACTGAGCAGGCCCTCAATCCCTCTGTTACTGTGTCACTATACCCCACTCCCTCTAACATGTAAACTCACTGAGCAGGCCCTCAATCCCTCTGTTACTGTGTCACTATACCCCACTCCCTCTAACATGTAATCTCACTGAGCAGGCCCTCAATCCCTCTGTTACTGTGTCACTATACCCCACTCCCTCTAGCATGTAAACTCACTGAGCAGGCTCTCAATCCCTCTGTTACTGTGTCACTATACCCCACTCCCTCTAGCATGTAAACTCACTGAGCAAGCTCTCAATCCCTCTGTTACTGTGTCACTATACCCCACTCCCTCTAACATGTAAACTCACTGAGCAGGGCCCTCAATCCCTCTGTTACTGTGTCACTATACCCCACTCCCTCTAACATGTAAACTCACTGAGCAGGCCCTCAATCCCTCTGTTACGGTCACTATACCCAACTCCCTCTAACATGTAAACTCGCTGAGCAGGCTGTAACGGTGCCCTCGGCATTAAATAGTTAAAACCGCCGTTTAGTTTAATCCTCCTCTCTCACCATAATGCAAGCTGCCTTCGTACTAGCTCCAATCATATGAACCACAAGCAGGGGAATACTCCAATCTCCCGAACGGGACCCGTACGGGTACTTCACTTCCAAGTCAGTAACTCACGAATCGCCGCTAACAGCCGAAACCATATATCTCCCAAGTGGCCAATAATTCCATCCGGCAGTCGCTATTCGTGTAGTAAATTCCCCCAATAACGAGACCAAGCTCCGCATTGAGGGTAAAACATTAACTGGGTTTACTGTGGGCTACCTGCCCGGTATTTATGCAGGTCTCCCACTTGGTGGACACTCCCCTAGGGGACCAAATGGGAGACTGTAAGGGCAGACAGACATGTGGCATGCTGGGACATACAGGCACATAATATTCCCAGCATGCATCCCGGTTTCCTCCCCTCTGCCCTGGAGATAATTGAGAAGTAATTCAATTATCTCCCAGGACAGAGGCAAATCGCCATTTTAAGTACAACACAAAAAACACATATAAATACATAACTTTACAACTACCAAACATTTTACATTTGTGTAACACATCCCCAGATAGCCTGGATCTGAGTGCATATTATTAGCGAATAGCGCTCAGATCCCATACACATAGTTCAATCTCCATGGAGTCAAAGTCTATTACAGTCTTTCGGTATGCGATTGACTCCATGGGAGGGCTATCTGTGTTAAGTCCATTCGTGCGTTTCAAACTCCCGAATGGCCAGTGTTCGTACACTTTTGTCGATTGAGAAGGGAGGTCGGTGGCTTCAGCGGTGTTCGGCGGAAAAAGTCCCCTTTTTCAGTTCCATAGAATCTGGGCCGAACACCGCTGGTCTTTCGCCTGTTTAAAATGGCCGCCGCCTCGTGGTTGACATACGAACGACGACCACCCTGCATTCGGTTTTAATTGAGAGGTGTCTGCAGTTAACCACAACGTTCTAATTGGGATCAAAAGGTTAACCAGCAGCACACCTTTCTTCTGGGTGGCCGTCCGTTCGGTAGTTTTGTTCGGCAGAAAAGTCAAATAGACGAACAGGGGCATACGAACAGGTAATTCCACGAAAAATGCAAATCAGATGAACCAGCAATCTTAGTCTATACAGATGGATCTGTCACACGGCTCCCCCCTTGTGGGACACTCCGGCAGACCCGGCTTGACCATGTGGCGGGTCAACTTGGGGATGACCGGACGAGGAGGTAATAGGGACGTCGGTCTGCCGGGACAATCCATCCGCATTCCCGTTCTGCATACCGGGTCGGTAGCTGATGGTGAAGTTGTGAGGTTGTAACGCTAAGCTCCACCGTAGCAGTCTATTGTCTCCTGAGACTCAGCTTTCTGCTGAGATATGTCACAGGGTGCTCTCCTCCATCTTCCCCGACCTGGCTCAGCACAGCCCCCAGTCAATACATGGAAGCATCTGTATGAACGAGAAAGCGTTTGTTAGGGACTGAGGCAGCCAGGACAGGGGCATTCACCAGAGCTTGCTTCAATGCCTGAAATGCGGCTTCACAAGCTGGAGACCACAGGACCTGCTTAGGTAAGTTCTTTTTTAGTCAGATGTAAACTCACTGAGCAGGCCCTCAATCCCTCTGGTACTGTGTCACTATACCCACTCCCTCTAACATGTAAACTCACTGAGCAGGCCCTCACCTGTTCCTGTACGTCCAATTGGCTGGTTACAATTACATGTATGTTAGTCCACCCATTGTACAGCGCTACGGAATCTGATGGCGCTATATAAATAATAAAATAATAATTATAATAATACATGCATACACTGCACATTACTGTGAGTTGTAATGCAATGGAGCTCTGTCATACACTCATACACACCTGCACGTTACTGTGAGTTTTATTACTGTTGAGCTATGTGATACACTCACACTGCACATTACTGTGAGTTTTATTGCTGTGTAGTTCTGTGATACACTCATACACACAGCACATTACTGGGAGTTTCATTGCTGTGGAGCTCTGTTATATCCTCATAGACACTGCATATTATTGGGAGTTTTATTGCTGTGGAGCTCTGTGATACCCTCATACACACTGTATATTTGCTTTGTGTGATCTCAATAAACATACACTATTATACTAATCGTGTGTATGTTGGATATTAAGCTCCTAACAAGCTTCAGGTACTAATTATAAAGTCAAATCTTGGCAAACATGGACAATCGATTCTGGAAAAACAATCATCACCATTATCAATTTCCACACCTCCTGCCCACCCCCACCCATGACGCCTGAAACAATATGATGGAATACGCTCATAATCTACTTCAATTCAGAACAATGAGAAGCCAAAAATAGCACAAATTACAACCACCCAAATCCTATTACCCCTCCCAGACCTGTACGAATAAATCTTGTCAGCCCAGACCAGGAATACTAGCAGTATCCAGGGACCAGGACTTAATTGACGTCTTACCAATTGAAACCCCAATGATTTTTTAAACAGTTTGCGAACTTCAATTCGTGAATTGTAAGATCTAATTTACCAATTTACCAGAAATGGTTCTAAGCAAACTAAATCCTATTCCAATTCAATACAGCAAATCGTGGGGGAGTAGAGAAGAACAGGGTAAGACAAGGCAGAACGACGGGCTAAACTGTACTAAAGGGGAGTTTTTGGGCCCCCATGAGCAGAGCGGGTGGCACCCATGTTGGAGTTTTCATATAGACCTCCAAACTGGACTTTTTACATGGATTGTAAAGTAAAAAAATATTAATTAAAATGATATTAATAATGTTTGCAGATCTTATATTAAAATATATACAATGTGCAATGTATGCTTATTCGCTTACCCCCTGTGTAATGATACCCCATTGGATACAATGTAATTTACCCTCTGCGTAATGATACCCCATTGGATACAATGTAACTTACCCTCTGCGTAATGATACCCCATTGGATACAATGTAACTTACCCTCTGCGTAATGATACCCCATTGGATACAATGTAATTTACCCTCTGCGTAATGATACCCCATTGGATACAATGTAATTTACCCTCTGCGTAATGATACCCCATTGGATACAATGTAATTTACCCTCTGCGTAATGATACCCCATTGGATACAATGTAATTTACCCTCTGCGTAATGATACCCCATTGGATACAATGTAATTTACCCTCTGCGTAATGATACCCCATTGGATACAATGTAATTTACCCTCTGCGTAATGATACCCCATTGGATACAATGTAATTTACCCTCTGCGTAATGATACCCCATTGGATACAATGTAACTTACCCTCTGCGTAATGATACCCCATTGGATACAATGTAACTTACCCTCTGCGTAATGATACCCCATTGGATACAATGTAACTTACCCCCTGCGTAATGATACCCCATTGGATACAATGTAACTTACCCTCTGCGTAATGATACCCCATTGGATACAATGTAATTTACCCTCTGCGTAATGATACCCCATTGGATACAATGTAATTTACCCTCTGCGTAATGATACCCCATTGGATACAATGTAACTTACCCTCTGCGTAATGATACCCCATTGGATACAATGTAATTTACCCTCTGCGTAATGATACCCCATTGGATACAATGTAATTTACCCCCTGCGTAATGATACCCCATTGGATACAATGTAATTTACCCTCTGTGTAATGATACCCCATTGGATACAATGTAACTTACCCCCTGTGTAATGATACCCCATTGATACAATGTAATTTACCCCCTGCGTAATGATACCCCATGGATACAATAATTTACCCTCTGTGTAATGATACCCCATTGGATACAATGTAAACCCCTTACCCCCTGCGTAATGATACCCCATTGGATACAATGTAATTTACCCTCTGTGTAATGATACCCCATTGGATACAATGCGTAATGATACCCCATTGGATACAATGTAACTTACCCTCTGCGTAATGATACCCCATTGGATACAATGTAACTTACCCCCTGCGTAATGATACCCCATTGGATACAATGTAACTTACCCCCTGCGTAATGATACCCCAGTGGATACAATGTAATTTACCCTCTGCGTAATGATACCCCATTGGATACAATGTAACTTACCCTATGCGTAATGATACCCCATTGGATACAATGTAACTTACCCCCTGCGTAATGATACCCCATTGGATACAATGTAACTTACCCCCTGCGTAATGATACCCCATTGGATACAATGTAACTTACCCCCTGCGTAATGATACCCCATTGGATACAATGTAACTTACCCTCTGCGTAATGATACCCCATTGGATACAATGTAACTTACCCTCTGCGTAATGATACCCCATTGGATACAATGTAACTTACCCTCTGTGTAATGATACCCCATTGGATACAATGTAATTTACCCTCTGCGTAATGATACCCCATTGGATACAATGTAATTTACCCTCTGCGTAATGATACCCCATTGGATACAATGTAATTTACCCTCTGCGTAATGATACCCCATTGGATACAATGTAACTTACCCTCTGCGTAATGATACCCCATTGGATACAATGTAACTTACCCTCTGCGTAATGATACCCCATTGGATACAATGTAACTTACCCTCTGCGTAATGATACCCCATTGGATACAATGTAACTTACCCTCTGCGTAATGATACCCCATTGGATACAATGTAATTTACCCTCTGCGTAATGATACCCCATTGGATACAATGTAATTTACCCTCTGCGTAATGATACCCCATTGGATACAATGTAACTTACCCTCTGCGTAATGATACCCCATTGGATACAATGTAACTTACCCTCTGCGTAATGATACCCCATTGGATACAATGTAACTTACCCTCTGCGTAATGATACCCCATTGGATACAATGTAACTTACCCTCTGCGTAATGATACCCCATTGGATACAATGTAACTTACCCCCTGCGTAATGATACCCCATTGGATACAATGTAACTTACCCTCTGCGTAATGATACCCCATTGGATACAATGTAACTTACCCCCTGCGTAATGATACCCCATTGGATACAATGTAACTTACCCCCTGCGTAATGATACCCCATTGGATACAATGTAATTTACCCTCTGCGTAATGATACCCCATTGGATACAATGTAACTTACCCTCTGCGTAATGATACCCCATTGGATACAATGTAACTTACCCCCTGCGTAATGATACCCCAGTGGATACAATGCAATTTACCCTCTGCGTAATGATACCCCATTGGATACAATGTAACTTACCCCCTGCGTAATGATACCCCATTGGATACAATGTAATTTACCCTCTGTGTAATGATACCCCATTGGATAGAATGTAATTTACACTCTGTGTAATGATACCCCATTAGATACAATGTAATTTACCCCATTAGATACAATGTAATTTACCCCATTGGATACAATGTAATTTACTCTCTGTGTAATGATACCCCCATTACTGTTCACTGTTACTGATTCTGGAATACTCTGGAATAATAGGAAATCGTATACGTAGTGGAATGGACGCTGTTATATACTTTTTCCTACCTTCGTTCGGCTGTCTGTCCTTCTACTGTACCCTCATTTGTCAACGGTGTTACCATCAGCAACACCACGCAGGCTCGCTGCCTAGGTGTTCTCTTTGACTCCGACCTCTCCTTCAAGCCTCATGTTCAATCTATCGCCAAATCCTGTCATTTCCATCTCAAAAACATTGCGCGCATCTGCCCCTACTTAACGCCAGATGCGACTAAGGTGTTCATCAATTCCACTGTCCTTTCTCGCCTTGACTACTGTAATCCACTTCTCAGTGGTCTTACGTGCTCCCAACTAGCGCCATTACAGTCCATAATGAATGCGGCGGCAAGGCTCATCTTCCTGTCCGCACGCACCTCCTCCTTCTGTCAATCCCTACATTGGCTTCCTATAAAATATAGAGTTCAACTTAAAATTTTGGTTCTTGCTTTCAAATCTCTACATAATGCTGCTCCCACCTATCTATCCTCCTTTATACACAAGTATGCCCTTACGATCTGCTGAAGACTTACGTCTATCTTCTGTCCGTACTCCCACCTCTGATGCTCGCCTTCAAGATTTCTCGAGGGCTGCACCGTTCCTGTGGAACTCGCTTCCCTCCTCCGTTAGATGCTCACCCAGTCTCCACTCCTTCAAAAAATCGTTAAAAACCCACTTCTTCATAAAAGCGTATCCATTAAACTGTTAATAGCTCCTGACTAGTGATGTCCCGAACGGTTCGCCACAGACTCATCATTGAGTAAACTTTGACCCTGTACCTCAGCCAGAAGACACATTCCAGCCAATCAGCAGCAGACCCTCCCTCCCAGATCCTCCCACTTCCTGGAAAGCATCCATTGTGAAGCTGCGTTCTTAGTGAGCTGTCCAGGAGGTGGGAGGGTCTGGGAGGGAGGGTCTGCTGCTGATTGCCTGGAATGTGTCTGCTGACTGTGAGATACAGGGTCAAAGTTTACTCAATGATGAGTCCGTGGCGAACCGTTCGTGGCGAACCGTTTGGCGAACAGTTCGGGACATCTCTACTACAGCCAGAAGGACAGCTACAGGAGACTGATTCCTCTTCTGCAACTGTCATTAGTCTAATACTATCCTTACCTTTTTTGTGTAATTTTACCCCACTCCCTCTAGCATGTAAGCTCATTGAGCAGGGCCCTCAACCCCTCTGTTCCTGTGTGTCCAACTTGTCTGGTTACAACTACATGTCTGTTCGTCCACCCATTGTAAAGCGCTGCAGAATTTGATGGCGCTCTATAAATATCATAATAATAATATGTGTGGTCCATGTGGTCTCTTCTTTTAACAACCAGATACCCCTGGTTGTTAAGCTCTCCAAACCTCTCCAAGTCTTTTCCATAGTCTTTTGTTACACGAATAGGCTCCATGGCATAGCTATCTGGGGTAGCACTACTCACATACTGAAAGTCCCGAACGCCCCGGCAGAAATACACAAATAAATCTTTCTGCAGGGTAAAATATAGCTATCAGCACAGGGGCCACAGTTGGAAGGCATGAGGCTAGCCAGCAGTCCCCTCCAGGGACAAGTGGCGAAGGGCACTTCATCACAGCGACACAGTAACAGAGGGATTGAGGGCCCTGCTCAGTGAGCTTATATGTTAGAGGGAGTGGGGTATAGTGACACAGAAGGTAAGGATAGTATTAGACTACTGACAGTTGCAAGAGAGGAATCTTGGGATGGGAACCCCTGTTGTTTGTTGTCCCTCTTCCATCCACCATCAGCTTCTTGGGATGGGAACCCCTGTTGTTTGTGTTGTGTCTGTTCATGTAAAACCTTGTGTGACGAAATAAACAGAGGTCAGTCGTGTTATATTCCTCCAAACTTGGGTGCTTTTCCTGTTCGTCTGCTAGCAGCTATTCGTGAGGTTCCAGTTCGGGAGTTTGGAGTGCTACTTTGTATGCAATTCAGGAGTTTGGAGCATTCCCTTGTATTCAGTTTGTGAGTTTGGGGTTCTGCAGTAGCTGTGCCTATGTCTCTGGAAGGGAAGATCTACTAAACGGCTTTGTAACGGATTACCTGGCACCCCCCGACTGGGCACCTCCATTGAAGGATGTCCTAGCGCTTCCTGAGGACTCCAAGCACTGCAGCAGACACCACAACCACCGAACCGGAGAAGCATACGAATGCTATCAAGCATTTGAATGCTGTAAGCAGCTGAGCAGGAAAGCATACAATCAGCTTACACTCCTGGCAGTCAGCATACAATCCTATTCCCCCAATAACGAGACGACACTTCATTTTGAGGTCAAGCAGAACTGATTTACTTGGGCTACCTGCCCGGCTTTTATGCAGGTCTCCCACATGGTGGACACTCCCCTAGGGGACCAGATGGGAAACTGGGAAACATATTGGACATTGACCAATCACAGACATACACCTTTAAACACTCCCACAATGCATCACAATCCCTCCTCTCTGTCCTGGAGGTAATTGGGAAGTAATCCAATTTTCTCCAAGGACAGCGGCAAAACTCCATTAGCCACATGGCAGACATTGGACAATAAAAGACATAAAATTACATACTGTTACATTTATCACATAGACCATACACATTCTACCTATCCCCAGATAGCTTAGATCTGAGCGCACATTATTACCGTATGGCGTTCAGATCACATACATACAGTTCAATCGCAATGGAGCCAAAGTCTTTCATATAGTCTTTCAGTATACGGCTGGGCTCCATCGCATAGCTATCTGGGGTAGCATGGCTTTAACAGTCTGCAGAAAGGCACGATGACGCTTTTCTGCAGGGAAAATAAAAGGTTTTAACTGCCGGGCCATAGTCTAAAGGGAGCAGGCGAGCAACCAGGCTCCTCCAGTGGACAGTGGCGAGGTTGGTTTCGCCACAGGCTTTTAACCCCTTTTATGCCTGGGGGTGCCGTTACAATTGGTGGCAGTGGTGGGATCGTTCCTACAGCCAGAAGGACAGCTACAGGAGACATCATTCCGTGGATTTACAAATTGGGGGCAACACATGTCCCAGTACAGCGACCCTAAAAGCAACAGAATGGAACCAGCAGTGTTATACAAGGAGTAGGACCTGGATGGCCGGGATGCATTAAGGAAAGGCATCTGGTAATAGGCCCTGGATAATGTACAATACCAGCTGGGTCTTTCCAGTGAAGAGCAACGGTTGCAGAAGCAAGTGGCTCTGCGGATGCCCTTCCTGGGAGAGCAGCCCCTTGAGGAATGGGTGAAGGAACTAGAGCACCGGGTATGGCAGGAGCTAGGGCTGGAGGATGCCTACCAGGCGCTCTGGTGGTATATGGCACAGTATATACACTGGACAGCCAAGCATGACAAGCCAGAGGGAGAGGAGTTTGATGGCCCTGGCTTGTTATGGGAGTCCTTTGCAGAGCCTGACTTCGGGAGCCCTGCGCAGACCAGACTTCAGGACATTTTCTACGAGAGGGAGGCTAGGCATGACGGGGATGACCCCCATGAGGTAGAGCAAGACCTGGCTCACCTAGCAACCCTGGAGTGGGAACTGGAGCAGGACTACCAAGATCGCTTCCACTCCATTGGGAAGGCTCAGCAGGACAGCAAGGTGACAGACCCAGATCCAGACCCATTCAGCTGGGAAGATATTGTGGAGATTTACTGGGAAGGACACCAGGTGGCCCGTGGAGATGGGACCAAGGTCTCTCCACCGCTCCTGCAGGGAATTGGGAGCCCAGTCTCCATTCCCCAGCGGCAGGCTGAGTTACAGGGGGCAGAGACAATCGGTCCTGTCCCCCAGCGGCAGAGTGATTTATTGGGAGCCCAGTCTCCATCCCCCAGCGGGGGACAGTCGGTCCTGTTCCCCAGCAGCAGAGTGACTTACTGGGAGAGGTGTCCTCCTTCCCCAAGGGCAGAGTGTCCAGCAGGGGATAGAGAGCTCAGTCTCCTTTCCCCAGCAGCAGGTCACTGTATTGGGAGCAGAGACAGTCGGTTTCCCTCCCCAGCGGCTGGGAGTATGTATGGGAGAGGTGCTTGTTACCCCCTATCCCCAGTGGCAGCTTAACGCATCAGGGGGAGACAGTAAGCCCCACGACCATGCAGATGGGACCGCAGTCTCTACACTTACAGCACAGGGGGTAGGGACAGTCGGTCTCCCCCTTCAGCAGCAGGGCTGTTTAGCCAAAGGGGAGACAGTCGCTCTCCCCCTCCAGCAGCAGAGCTGTGTGTCCAAAGGGGAGACAGTTGGTCTCCCCCTCCAACAACCAGGCTCCAACCAGGCTACTTCTGTGGTAGCGCTGGCACCAGGACAGAGTACCGTTGGTCTCTGCCCACTCAGCAACCACCAAGGCAGCCTACCAGTACCCCGCACAGCCGTGGTGAGGCACATGGACAAGTTTCTCCTCTACCGAGGAGTAGTAGCCATTTATTGTGGGTGGGCTGTACTGCTGTTTCTGTCTTGTGGGTGGGCTGCTGGACTAACCAGGGCACTGACTGGCAGGAGGTCAGATACCCTGTAAGTCTGTTTGGAAAAGGGGAGAGATGTGACGAGACCAATCTCGCCACATTGCATTGGAGGAGCCTGGTTGCCTGCCTGCTGCCGTTGGATTATGGACCGGCAGTTAAACACTTAATTTTACTGTGCAGAAAGGTTTATTCCTACCTTTCTGCACAGCCATTCGGTAAATTCGATCTACCGAACAAACAGCCATCTATTAGCCTCCCCATAGCTGTGGGGAGCCGGCAGGCGCTGTTAATTGGCCACCCAGAAGCTGGTGTGCGCCGCCAATCTACCCCCCAGTAGTTGCGGTTAACCGCAGCTTAATTGACTGTTACTGGGTGGCTGTGGTTACACTTAGCAGCCGCTCGGTGGCGGTATTATGGAGCTCCCTGGACAGCCACCGGATTCAGTGCACTAAAAACGGACACTTTTACGTGCAAACACCACTGAGCCTCCAGCCTCCCCTGCTTCTGTTCATGGCTATTTAACCGAACACCTGATCATTCAGGACTTTGTTTTATGTGAATGTTTTAACCCAGATAGCACAGCCATGGAGCCTATTCATGTAATTAAAGAACTTGGCTCCATGGCAAGTGAACTGTGTGTATAGGATCTGAGCGCTATTCGGTAGTTATGTGCGCTCAGATCTAAGCTATCTGGGGATATGTGACATGCATGGATTTTGTGTAATAAATGTAATATTATATGTTTTAAAGTATTTTACTGTCTTTGTGTCCCCACGTGTATAATGGCGATTTGCCTCTGTCCTGGGAGATAATTGGATTACTTCCCAATTATCTCCAGGACAGCGGGAGGGAAATTAGGATGCATCGTGGGGATATTTTACTTCTGTGTGTCTGAATGTGATACATGTCTGTAACGGACCGTTTTGCACACAAGGGGTAAAAACCGTTTAGGCGATCGGCCCCCTTTCCAGAGATACAGGCACAGCTACTGCAAAACACCAAAACTCACGAACTGGATACAAAATAGCACTCCAACTCCCGAACTGGAACCTCCCAAATAGCTGCTAGCAGACGAACAGGAAAAGCAGACAATCCGCTTACACTTCTGGCAATCAGTCTCTAACAGCATACAGTGAATCCCCCCAAGAACGAGACAAGGCTCTGTGTTGAGGGTCAAGCAGTGGTCTGAGGTGCTGGCACACCCAGCCTGGTTTTTATTACAGTCTTGCAAATACAGGACCGCCCACAGGGAGGTATAAAACAACCAATCACACCACAGTTACATCCCACATATTCCCTCCCCTTATCCTGAGAGGAAACTCAATTATACATACAGTTAAAACATACTTCTACCCAACTTTCATAACTCTAAAACCATACATCACATTCACATTAAATTACACATTCACAATCAATCCATTCAGGGGAACAACATATTAAAAAATGGCACAAATCAGACAAGGGGTTCAAAAGTTAGTAAAAAGTCCTTTGTGACTAAATGAAGCATGGCTTTCTGGCCCAAACTAGTTTCAGAGTCTTCTATCCTGGAGATAAGTAATTCAATTATCTCCCAGGACAGACACAAGACTCCATTAAGCACATGGCTGCAAAAAGACACAAAACACTTTAAAATACATAAAGTCACATTTATTACATAAAACACAGACATGTAACATATCCCCAGATAGCTCAGGTCCGAGCGCACATTATTAAGTGAATGGCGCTCGGACCACACAAATACAGTTTAATCACCATGGAGCCAAAGTCTTTACAGTCAGTTTCATACAAATGGGCTCCATGGGATTCCTATCTGGGGTATAACACATTCAAACAAATCTACTGAACCCCAGGCAGAAAAGCACGAATACAGCTTTTCTGCAGGCAAAAATAAAGTCTTTTAAAAGGGGGCCATAGTCCAAGGGCAGCAGGCGAGCAACCAGGCTTCTCCAATGCAATGTGGCGAGATTGGTCTCGTCACATCTCTCCCCTTTTCCAAACAGACTAACAGGGTATCTGACCTCCTGCCGGTCAGTGCCCTTGTTAGTCCAGCAGCCTACCCACAACAAATAATCAACAGCACAGCCCACCCACAATAAATGGTTACTACACCTGGGTAAAGGAGAAGCTTGTCCATGTCCAGGTGCCTCACCACGGCTGGGCTGGGTACGGGTACGCTGACTTGGTGGGTTGCTGCATGGGCAGAGACCAGCGGCACTCTGCCCTGTTGCCAGCGCTACTGGGAGGGTAGCCTGGTGGAAGCCTGGTTGTTGGAGGGGGAGACCGACTGTCTCCCCTTTAAATACACCGACTGTCTCCCCTTTAAATACACCGCTCTGCTGCTGCTGTTGGAGACTGACTGTCTCCCCTTTAGATGCACAGTCCTGCTGCTGGAGACCGACCGTCTCCCCTTTGGTTACCCATCTCTGCTGCTGGAGGGGGAGACCGACTGTCTCCCCTTTGGCTAAACAGCCCTGTCGCTGGGGGCAGGACCGACCGTCCCTACCCCCTGTGCTGGCAGTGTAGAGACTACGGTCCCATCTGCACAGTTGTGGGGCTTACTGTCTCCCCCTGGTACATTAAGCTGCCGCTGGGGAGAGGGGATAACAGGCTCCTCTCCCATACATACTTCCAGCTGCGGGGGAGTGAGACCCAATACAGAGTCCTGCTGCTGGGGAAAGGAGACTGGGCTCTCTATTCCCGGTAGGACACTCTGCCGCTGGGGAATGGAGACAGGGCTCCCAATTCCCAATAATCTGTGCTGCCGCTGGGGAATGGAGACTGGGCTCCCAATTCCCAAAACATCATACTGCCGCTGGGGAATGGAGACTGGGCTCCCAATTCCCAAAACATCATACTGCCGCTGGGGAATGGAGACTGGGCTCCCAATTCCCAAAAAATCACGCTGCCGCTGGGGAGGGAGGACACTGCCCTCCTCTCCCTGGACTTCACACTGCCTTCCCGGCATATCACTTGGCTGCTGGGGGGCAGGAACAACTACCTCTGCCCCCTGTAACTCAACCTGCCGCTGGGGAGGGAGGACGCTGCTCTCCTCTCCCTGCACTTTACACTGCCGCTGGGGAATGGAGACTGGGCTCCCAATTCCCAATAAATCACACGGCCGCTGGGGAATGGAGACTGTGCTCCCAATTCCCTGCAGGACCGGTGGAGAGACCTCGGTCCCATCTCTACCGGCCACCTGGGGTTCTTCCCAGAAAATATCCACAATGTCTTCCCAGCTGAATGGGTCTGGAACTGGATCTGTCACCTTGCTGTCCTGCTGAATCTTCTCAATGGAGTGGAAGAGATCTCGGTAGTCCTGCTCCAGTTCCCACTCCAGGGTTGCTAGGTGAGCCAGGTCTTGCTCAATGTCGTGAGTGTCGCCCCAGTCATACCTGCTCTCCCTCCACTCCAAGAGATCACTGAACCGGGCTTGTGTAGGGCTCCCAAATTCAGGCTCTGAAAAAGCCTCCCATAACAAGCCAGGACCATCAAACTCCTCTCCCACTGGCTTGTCATGCTCGGCTGTCCAGGGCAGGTACTGTGCCCCATACCACCAGAGCGCCTGGTATGCATCTTCCAGCCAAATCTCCTGCCATACCCGGTGCTCCAATTCCTTCACCCATTCATCTAGGGGCTGCTCTGCCAGGAAGGGCATCCGCAGGGCCACTTGCTTCTGCAACCGCTGCTCTTCACTGGGGAGACTCTCACCCCGCTGGTACTGTACATTATCCAGGGCCTGGTACCAGATGCCTTTCCTTAATGCATCCCGGCCATCCAGGTCCTCCTCCTCGTATGACACTGCTGGTTCCATGCTGTTGCTGTCAGGGTCGCTGTACTCAGACATGCGTTGCCCTCAAATTGTAAATCCACGGAATGGTGTCTCCTGTAGCTGTCCTGTAGTCTGTGGGAACGATCCCGCCGCTTGCCACCAATTGTAACGGACCGTTTTGCACACAAGGGGTAAAACCGTTTAGGCGATCGGCCCCCTTTCCAGAGATCCAGGCACAGCTACTGCAGAACACCAAAACTCACGAACTGGATACAAAATAGCACTCCAACTCCCGAACTGGAACCTCCCAAATAGCTGCTAGCAGACGAACAGGAAAAGCAGACAATCCGCTTACACTCCTGGCAATCAGTCCCTAACAGCATACAGTGAATCCCCCCAAGAACGAGACAAGGCTCCGTGTTGAGGGTCAAGCAGTGGTCTGAGGTGCTGGCACACCCAGCCTGGTTTTTATTACAGTCTTGCAAATACAGGACCGCCCACAGGGAGGTATAAAACAACCAATCACATCACAGTTACATCCCACATATTCCCTCCCCTTATCCTGAGAGGAAACTCAATTATACATACAGTTAAAACATACTTTCTACCCAACTTTCATAACTCTAAAACCATACATCACATTCACATAAAATTACATATTCACAATCAATCCATTCAGGGGAACAACATATTCAAAAATGGCACAAATCAGACAAGGGGTTCAAAAGTTAGTAAAAAGTCCTTTGTGACTAAATGAAGCATGGCTTTCTGGCCCAAACCAGTTTCAGAGTCTTCTATCCTGGAGATAAGTAATTCAATTATCTCCAGGATAGACACAAGACTCCATTAAGCACATGGTTGCAAAAAGACACAAAACACTTTAAAATACATAAAGTCACATTTATTACATAAAACACAGACATGTAACATATCCCCCAGATAGCTCAGGTCCGAGCGCACATTATTAAGCGAATGGCGCTCAGACCACACGAATACAGTTTAATCGCCATGGAGCCAAAGTCTTTACAGTCAGTTTCATACAAATGGGCTCCATGGGATTCCTATCTGGGGTATAACACATTCAAACACATCTACCGAACCCCAGGCAGAAAAGCACGAATACAGCTTTTCTGCAGGCAAAAATAAAGTCTTTTAAAAGGGGGCCATAGTCCAAGGGCAGCAGGCGAGCAACCAGGCTTCTCCAATGCAATGTGGCGAGATTGGTCTCGTCACAATGTCTGTCTGTGTTAGTCTCCCATCTGGTCCCCTAGGGGAGTGTCCACCAGGTGGGAGACCTGCATAAATACTGGGCAGGTAGCCCTGAATAAATCAGACCACTGCTTGACCCTCAACACGGAGCTCTGTCTCATCTTTGGGGGGATTTACTGTATGCTGTTAGAGACTGATTGCCAGTAGTGTAAGCCGCTTGGGTGCTTTTCCTGTTCGTCTGCTAGCAGCTATTCGTGAGGTTCCAGTTCGGGAGTTTGGAGTGCTACTTTGTATGCAGTTCGGGAGTTTGAAGCATTCCCTTGTATGCAGTTCGGGAGTTTGGAGTGCTACTTTGTATGCAGTTCAGGAGTTTGGTGTTCTGCAGTAGCTGTGCCTGTGTCTCTGGAACCCCTTTTATGCCTGGGGGTGCCGTTACAACGGGGAAGTAAACCCCTCAATCGAACTGGTACAGGCAATGTTAGCCCAAGTGGATGCCTTCATCATTGCAAGGGAAGACCGGCAGAACCAACTTTGGCTGGCTGAACAGCGTACCTCTGAGAGATTGCCAACTACCACACGGGCACAAAGCTAAAGGTACCCCACGATGCATTTAAAAAGTTTGTGGAAATAGAGATCGACAACTTCCTGCAGGATTTCGAGTGGCAATGCAGGTTATACCAAGTCCCCCCAGCAGACTGGGTGCAAATTCTGGCTGGTAAGCTTTCAGGCCCAGAGAGACTGCACTCAGAACAGGAACCAAGCCGCGTAGATCCGACCAGGGCTACCTCCTCCACGCGGAAGCCGCCCCATACAACCACAGAGCTAAGGAATTAGAAGAACACTGGGGTATCCTGCACAAGACTGACGAGTACAGGCCGCTTCTGACATCATCGCAAGCCAGTACAGCTGAATGGCAAACAAGCTCAAGACCTGCGAGATCCGAGCTCCGCCTTCACATTGGTCAAACGCCGACCGCACCGGAGATGCCGTAACTGTGCAGGTAGCAGGGAGAACGATACACAGGCTACCCACTGCAAGAGTACACCTGAATTGGGGTGCCGGATTGGGGTTAACTGATGTGGGGCTGATCCAGGAACTCCCCACTGACGTCTTGCTGGGGAACGATCTCGGCCAGTTAAGTTCAGCATTTGTACCAACCCAGGCCATCAACAAGACTTAACCAGTTACCACCATGTCCAGGTAGAAACACCTTCCCTAACTGTTAACCTCCTCCCCTGGGATACCCCCGCAGAATTTGGGCAGGAAACCCTTAGTGATCCCACATTACTGGTCTATAGGGGTAAAGTAACCCAGTTATAGGCAAGATCAGAGGGAGAGGTACTCCTGGCACTCATAGAGAGTATCGGCCGGGTCCCTACAGCCCCCCACCCGACAATTAGTAGTCTCCCAGAAGTACAGGAGTTACTGCAGATAGCCCACAATATTCCCCTGTCTGGCCACTTAGGGGTCAGCCACACTAGATACCGGCTCACCCACACCTTCTTTTGGCCAGGCGTGTCCAAAGATGTCCAACAGTACTGTCAAACGTGTGACACCTGTCAACGGGAAGAGTAACGAGAAGATTGCCACAAGGCCAAATTACAACCCCTACCCATCATGAGGAACCGTTCGGATGGGTAGGCATAGATATTGTAGGACCCCTAGCAAAACCCAGCCCGTCCGGCAAAAAGTACATCCTGACAATAGTTGACTATGCAACGCGTTACCCCGAGGCTATGGCACTGACAAAAATACTCGTTGATACAGGTCTTCTCCCGCATGGGTTTTCCCAGGAAGATAGTCTCGGATCAGGGCACTCAGTTTACTGCAGAAGTCACCCAACAGCTTTGGAGACTGTGTGGCATTAAGCCAATTATTAGTTCTCCCAACCACCCCCAGACAAATGGCCTATGTGAAAGGTTCAATGGAACATTAAAACAAATGCTCCGGACTTTCATGGCCACGAATCTGCATATTGGGAGGAGCCACAGGAATCTACAAGATTTGCACCCTTCAAACTACTGTTCAGAAGGAGAGTACGGGGACCCTTGATTAAATTCAGGAACACTGGGAGGGAGCAGTAGGTCAGGTCCGTAACCCGTTTATACCCTATGTGCTGGAGTTCCCAGAACTGGAGGAATTGACTCAGAACGTGCATACTAACCTCTGGGCGGCGCAGACCTGCCACCGCCAATGGTATGATGGTATGATAAAGCTTTCTGATTGGCCAAAAGGTTTTGATTTTAAAACCTGTTCACCACAACAAGCTACAGGCCGGCTTAGTATGGCAGGGCCCATACCAAGTAGTGGAACAGAGATGTGACACCATGTACATAATAAGTCCTTGCTCTGGTAGTGGGGGGAGACGCATGCTCCACGTGAACCTGCTCAAACCCTACTATGAGAGGACGGAGGATGTGGCTGCAATATGTGCGCCCGCCTCAGATGACTTTGGGAATCTTCCCCTACCGGACCTCCTGGGGGAAGATAAGACAGCACTCAAGAGTATATCCAGGTACGGCAACTGCTAGCCACGAAGGTAGCAAAGTTTTTGAACATACCTGGATACACTGCGCTAGTCGTCCATCGAGTACACAACCGCCCTCCGACAGACTCCCTATAGAATCCCTGTGGCTGTCAGGGAACACATGAGAAAGGAGATCCAAAAAAAAGGTCCGTCTCAGGGTCATTGAAGCGTCTGATAGTCCTTGGGCTTCTCCAGTAGTCTTGGTACCGAAGTGGGATGGAACGACCCGCTTCATTGTCGATTACCGGAGACTCAATGACAAAACAGTATCAGACGCTTACCCCATGCCCCGGATAGATGAGCTCTTGGATGAGCTCATTCCCAAATCGACCTTTGTCACCCCATTTGGCCTGTACCAGTTTAAGGTCATGCCATTTGGGATGGAAAATGCCCCAGCCACGTTCCAGTGTATGGTGGACCGGCTACTCGATGGCTTCCAAGATTATGCATGTGCATAATCGGACGACATCACGATTTTTAAGGAGACTTGGGAGGAGCATCTGAGGCACATAGGAGATAGACCAGATTAGAGAGGCCGGCTTGACCCTCAAGCCGAGCAAATTCCACATTGGGGTGGCTGAAGTTCAGTTCTTGGGACACCGGGTGGGGTGTGGGAAACAGAAACCCGAGCCAGCCAAAGTGGAGGCTGTAGCCCAGTTGCCAACCCCCCCGTACCAAAACCCAGGTTTTAGCATTCCTAGGGACGGCTGGCTACTACCGGAAATTTGTAGTATGGGCCCCAGAGTACAAACAGGCATTCCAACAGCTAAAACAAGCCCTTGTTAATAGTCCTGTATTAGCCGCTCCCAATCCATCTAAACAATTTCTTGTTCACACAGGTGCCTCAATGTTTGGATTGGGAGCGGTATTGAGCCAGGTTGGAGAAGTTTGCGGAGAACACCCTGTAGCTTACCTGAGCAGGAAACTTCTACCCAGGGAAGTGAGCTACACCGCCATCGAGAAGGAATGCCTGGGTGTGGTGTGGGCCCTAAAGAAGCTTCAACCCTACTTGTACGGACAGCAGTTCACCCTACTCACGGATCATAAACTGAGTGGTGCAGAACAATGCCCGGTTGTTGCGCTGGAGTTTGGCATTACAACCGTATGACTTTAATATCCACTACCGCCCTGGGAAACAGAATGGCAATGCTGACGTGTTATCTCGACAAACTGAACTGGAAAAGTGATCCGTGAGTACTCCGTTAAGGATCAGACTGTGTATGCTGGCTTGTGGTTAAGGGAAAGCAGTGTAGTGGAATGGACACTACTATATATACTTTTTACTCCCTTTTTTCAGCTGTTCGTACCCCCCCACCCATTCCCATTCGTCTACCGCGCCCTCATCCATGTGGTCGCTTCTTTTAACAACCAAACACCCCTGGCTGTTAACCATTGCTTGTCTGTAGCTCTCCACCCCCTTCTTTTTCCTGTCCTAGCAGGACGTTGTCCCTCTTCCATCCACCATCAGCTTCTTGGGATGGGAACCCCTGTTGTTGGAGACCCCAGGTAGGGGTCTGTTCATGTAAAACCTTGTGTGACAAAATAAGGTCAGTTGTGTTATATTCCTCCAAACTGTGTGTCGTCCAGTCACTGGGGGAAAAATGGATGCCTGCTTGTTGTAAGGGTTCCTGAACGGCTGAAGGAAGAGAATAAGCTGAGATAACCGGTCTTTTTAGCCAGGTATCCACTACAGTACATGTATAATAAATTGTAAGGAAGTGTGAGGCTATTAATTATCCTTTAGTTGTTTTCTGACTGAACATGTTTTATAGTTTTACAATGTTTCTTTGTTGTGATCGTTACATTCAGTCTATGGGTGTGACGTTGGTTTTACCACCTATATGATACTTGCTTGTATTAAATATCACTTTATTATGTTTGAAACGTTAGTTTATTTAATAGACATACTCGAATACATCATTTTAAAAACACTGTGTGCTGTGTCCTTCTCAGCTGCTTGCTATGTTTACAACAGCTAGTAAAACAAATGGCTATTCTTAGACTTTGCTATAAAACAGTTTGTTTAGCGTGGTGCCCCACCTACCCTCCCTGGAACAAAGCAACACTGGAGCTGTCTTGGACATGACAATCTGATGGCACACCATCCCTGCTGCAGATGGCCCGATCTTTAGAAGAGAAATTAGGAAGGAGTTGGAGTCAGTGATCCAAACCATCAGTCTACAAGCTAGACAAGAACCCAGACATTCCTGAATACCTATAGACAATGAACCGATCCAAAGACTGACTTTCAATAGACAATGAATCGCTACACCCTGACTTTCTATAGCTCGACATCCAAACCAGCCTTTGGGTGGAAACATCTCTGAACAAGCGTTGTTCAACGCTTATAAAATGCCTCTGTTCATAGTCTGTACCACTATAACATTGATTACACTACCACCGATAACGTTTATTACAGTTTACCAGCTTCCAATAAACCTTTTATTGGTTCAAATCGGCTACATTCCCACCATCAAATTGGGACCTGATTAAAATTGCTTACAATAATATATGTTTATTTTTAAATTAAAAATCAATATCATACTTGAAAATATCAGACATCAAAAAGATGTCAATAAATGGGTTTTTGTCTGCTGCTGCCACGAGCATCCTGCAGGAAAATAATTGAAAAAAGCCTCTGGGGTCAATATGACATCAACATTAGCAACATAATACACATTATATACACACACATGCTGTGAGTGGCTGCTCATTGTAATAAACTACCAACAACTGGGTTTGCTGCCTAGTCACCCATACCCCCAGGTATCACCCGTGATCCTATTCATTATAATAAACAGCATCACAACTCAAAAAGAAAGGATAGAAAAGAATCCACAATGCATTAAAATCAAATCCAAGTTACCCATCGAGGGCTCTGCACAGACTGGGTGTGCACAGTGGGGAAACACTTTTATAAGGGTGCACTCTGATAGATTGGCTTGTAGGTCATACAAGGTCAATAGAACCGAACGCTAGCTCTCTGGAGGCCATTCGCATAAACCAAACCCACGAATAGTCCCAGCGGTACTTAGCTGTGAATGTTATGGAACTGTTTTCGGCATGAGGTGAAATTAGTCCGGTGTTTTGAACTACTTTGCAACCTGCTATGAGAGCGCTTTTTGGAGGGAAGGTGTTTAAGACTAAGGGGAAGACACGCTACCGGAGAGCCAGGCAGAGCACCCCGTATTGCGGCCGCAGGAGCTCCCAAAATTTGACCAGCAAAAGCACTGAACGCTCTTGAAACTATTTTGGGCATAGGACGATGTGTGCGGCCGGTCAGAACTTTAAGACAGTGGGGCTTCCCCTACATTGCATGGATCTGAGCGCTATTTTGAGAACCTGGGCACTCAGATCAGGGCTATTTGGGGGTGTATAATATGTGGGGTTATTGTATGTTTTATTATGGTGTGTTTTTTTTTTTTTAAATGTTTTATGTTTGTTCCTGCGAGATAATTATCTTACCAGTCTTTAATGCAATTATCTCCAGGGAGCTCAGCTACAGTATCAATCTACAACCCCGCTGTATCAGACAACACATATACAACACAAATAAACATCGAGCTACAGCTTCTAACATGAATTACTAACACAGTAAGATGCCTGTGGATTACGACCAATCAGGTTAAACGAGTCAATCATTACGAAATCTTTAATTAGTATCTGGATTTTCTCACCATGAATTCCTTTCCATAATTAAATCATATCCACATTTAGAGTATCTAACACCTAATAACTCATAGTGTGGGGTGTGATAGGGGAAAGGTGATGTCATGTAATAATGAAGTGTACTGTCTTCCTCAATATCAGAGGGTATAAGACAGTAACGGAGCATATACACAGCATATACACGCACACAGCCCTGACCATATACACAGCATATACACGCACACAGCCCTGACCATATACACAGCATATACACGCACACAGCCCTGACCATATACACAGCATATACACACACACACACAGCACTGACCATATACACAGCATATACACGCACACAGCCCTGACCATATACACAGCATATACACACACACAGCCCTGACCATATACACAGCATAAACACACACACAGCCCTGACCATATACACAGCATATACACACACACACACACAGCCCTGACCATATACACAGCATATACACACAGCCCTGACCATATACACAGCATATACACACACACACAGCCCTGACCATATACACAGCATATACACACACAGCCCTGACCATATACACACACATCCCTGACCATATACACAGCATATACACACACACAGCCCTGATCATATACACAGCATATACACACACACAGCCCTGACCATATACACACACACATCCCTGACCATATACACACACACATCCCTGACCATATACACAGCATATACACACACACAGCCCTGACCATATACACAGCATATACACACACACAGCCCTGACCATATACACAGCATATAAACACACACAGCCCTGACCATATACACAGCATACACACACACACAGCCCTGACCATATACACACACACATCCCTGACCATATACACAGCATATACACACACACAGCCCTGACCATATACACAGCATATAAACACACACAGCCCTGACCATATACACAACATATAAACACACACAGCCCTGACCATATACACACACACATCCCTGACCATATACACAGCATATACACACACACAGCCCTGACCATATACACACATATACACACACAGCCCTGACCATATACACACACACAGCCTGGGACTATACACAGCATATACACAGTACACACAGCCCTGACCATATACACACAGTATATACACACACAGCTCTTGACCATATACACACACACACATCCCTGACCATATATACAGTATATACACACACACAGCCCTGACTATATACACAGCATATACACACACACAGCCCTGACCATATACACAGCATATACACACACACAGCCCTCACCATATACACAGCATATACACACACACAGCCCTGACCATATACACAGCATATACACACACACAGCCCTGACCATATACACAGCATATAAACACACACAGCCCTGACCATATACACAGCATACACACACACACAGCCCTGACCATATACACAGCATATACACACACACATCCCTGACCATATACACAGCATATACACACACACAGCCCTGACCATATACACAGCATATAAACACACACAGCCCTGACCATATACACAACATATAAACACACACAGCCCTGACCATATACACACACACATCCCTGACCATATACACAGCATATACACACACAGCCCTGACCATATACACAGCATATACACGCACACACAGCCCTGACCATATACACAGCATATACACACACACAGCCCTGACCATATGCACAGCATAAACACACACACAGCCCTGACCATATACACAAAATATACACGCACACAGCCCAATACCTGACCATATACACACGCATAAACACACACAGCCCTGACCATATACACAGCATAAACACACACAGCCCTGACCATATACACAGCATATAACACACACACACAGCGCTGACCATATACACAGCATATACATATACACACACACAGCCCTGACCATATACACAGCATATATACACACACAGCCCAATACCTGACCATATACACAGCATAAACACACACAGCGCTGACCATATACACAGCATAAACACACACACAGCCCTGACCATATACACAGCATATACATATACACACACACAGCCCTGACCATATACACAGCATATACACACACACACAGCCCAATACCTGACCATATACACAGCATAAACACACACAGCACTGACCATATACACAGCATATAAACACACACACAGCGCTGACCATATACACAGCATATACATATACACACACACACACACACAGCACTGACCATATACACAGCATATACACACACACACAGCACTGACCATATACACAGCATATACACACACAGCATGTACACACACAGCCCTGACCATATACACAGCATGTACACACACACAGCCCTGACCATATACACAGCATGTACACACACACACAGCCCTGACCATATACACAGCATGTACACACAGCCATGACCATATACACAGCATATACATGCACACAGCCCAATACCTGACCATATTCACAGCATAAATACACACAGCACTGACCATATACACAGCATGTACACACACACAGCCCTGACCATATACACAGCATATACACGCACACAGCCCAATACCTGACCATATACACAGCATAAACACACACAGCCCTGACCATATACACAGCATATACACACACAGCCCAATACCTGACCATATACACAGCATAAACACACACAGCACTGACCATATATACACACACAGCCCAGTACCTGACCATATACACAGCATATAAACACACACAGCCCTGACCATATACACACACACACAGCCCAATACCTGTCCATATACACATTATATACACACAGCCCAATACCTGCCCATATACACATTATATACACACACACAGCCCAATACCTGCCCATATACACATTATATATACACACAGCCCAGTACCTGACCATATACACATTATATATACACACAGCCCAGTACCTGACCATATACACATTATATACACACACAGCCCAGTACCTGACCGTATACACATTATATACACACAGCCCAGTACCTGACCATATACACATTACATACACACAGCCCAGTACCTGACCGTATACACATTACATACACACAGCCCAGTACCTGACCGTATACACATTACATACACACAGCCCAGTACCTGACCGTATACACATTACATACACACAGCCCAGTACCTGACCATATACACATTACATACACACAGCCCAGTACTTGACCGTATACACATTAAATACACACAGCCCAGTACCTGACCATATACACATTATATACACGCACAGTGCCTAATACCTGACTATATACAGAGTCACTCCACTATCTGAACTTGTAATACTAATATCCCATTAGCTGCTATTCCATGTTTACTGGCTGTTTTTCGGAATATGACATTGTCTTGTTTCATAATATTACAGAACAGTTCATCTTGCAATCTCTCCTATCCTTAGTTGGATATAAAACATGTTGTCCCCAATTATGTATATATTTTTTAACCCTAACACGATGTCTCAACCTCCACACCAACATAGCATAAAGTTCATAATATTAGACACAACCCACCTCTGCCACCAACATTCCACAAAGTCCCTAACATCAGACACAACCAACCTCCACCACTAACATTCCACAAAGTCCCTAACATCATACACAACCAACCTCCACCACTAACATTCCACAAAGTCCCTAACATCAGACACAACCAACCTCCACCACTAACATTCCACAAAGTCCCTAACATCAGACACAAGCAACCTCCACCACTAACATTTCACAAAGTCCCTAACATCAGACACGACCAACCTCCACCACTAACATTCAACAAAGTCCCTAACATCAGACACGACCAACCTCCACCACTAACATTCCACAAAGTCCCTAACATCAGACACGACCAACCTCCACCACTAACATTCCACAAAGTCCCTAACATCAGACACAACCAACCTCCACCACTAACATTCCACAAAGTCTCTAACATCAGACACGACCACCTCCACCAACAATCCTGAAGCTCCCCAATGTAAGACTCAACCCATATCCCCACCAACATCCTACAAACTCCCCAATATTGGATATAATTGTTGCAGCATGAATGCCCTAACTGCACTTTTATTTACTTTTGTTCGGCTGTCTGTACACCCCTGTTCGTCCAATGTGTTGTCCCCTGTTAACACCTCACAATTACCGACCATCCCAGGATGTTAACCACAAATTGCTCATTAGTACAAGTGTTTCCCCTGTGACCGCCGTTCATATAACCGAACACACATGCTCCAAGAATTGGTGGCCATTTTGTCTCCCGAACGCAGGCAGCGGTACATGGTCGTTGACAGCCTGGAACTATTCTCGGACACGCGACCCAGCGAACACCCAGGAAACTACTACCGCTGCCCATCCAACTACCCGAAGAGGATCCTGAAAGAAAAACCCTTGTAATGTTGATATGGAGACTGGTCAGTGCATAAAAGCCATGTGTGGCCAAAATAAACTCAGTTAACTCCCAGAACTATGTGTCGTCTAGTTGCTGGGGGAAAAGGTCTTGGATTACTACAGTGCTCCTTTTAGCTTCAAGGAAGGAATAGCGGAAATACCTATGCGTGGTACTGGAGCTCCACTACACAACTCATCTTAACCACCTTTCCCTAAATTCCACTATATCAAACTCAACCTATTAACATTTCAAAAACTCCCCAATGCCAGACAAAACGTACCTTTTCCACCAACATTCCCCAAACTCCCCAGTACCAGATACAGTCCACTTTTCTAACAATCTTTCCCCACACTCCCCAATATCACACACAATCCATAATCTCAACCAAGTCAACAATACAGGAGTTTCACTTACAGCTAGTGGTGGTGGTAGTCTCTTACTTCAGGACTGGCTCTTTTCACTCAAAGTCTATAGGTGTCTCATTTCATTTGGGGTCTTTGGTAAAGTGTTTTTTTGTTTGTCTCTGGAATTCTGGTGTGAACCTCACACTCTTGATGAGACAGTCACATAGGTCCTTTCATAGTGTTCCAAAATTTTAGTGAGTTTTTTTTCTCTCTCTGGTAGTCTCCAGCTGTGAAGGTCTCTTTTCCAAAATTTCTCTTGTACAGTCTGTACATGTACTGTCAAACGCTAGACTATCTTTGCCCACACGGTCTCTTTTTCCCTCTCTCTCTCTCAGACAGTCTCTTGGTGTCAATGTTTCTGAATTAGAGAAACTGTATTTGGAATTCTGTTATCATCGCTGTTTCTTTCTTTCCTATGCACTTAAACAATGTCTCTTTACCTGTGACACAGGGCACGAGGCTGTCTGTCTACGTGGGATACAGAACGTCTATAAGAGGCTGTCTCTCCAGGTATAAGAGTGTGTTTTATGAGATTGTCTCTCCAGGTGTAAGAGGATGCCTCTCTGATGCTGTATCTCCAGGTATAGGATTATGTCACTCTGATGCTGTCTCTCCAGGTGTAAGAGGATGTCTCTATAGGGCTGTCTCTCCAGGTGTAAGAGGATGTCTCTCTGAGGCTGTCTCTCCAGGTGTAAGACATGTGATGTGAGACTGGGTATAGGACAACCTGTGGTACCTTTACCTGAGAGTGGGTGGGGCTTGAACGTCCTCCCTCTATGTATACTTCAGTTTAAATATATGGTGTGTATCCACCTAGCTCCCTGTGAAACCTGAATTCATTCACTCTCACATACATTAGCTGTGCATCCTCTGTGAGTGGGTGTAGTACTAATACTATACTAATATACCAAGTATACTCTCTGCATGACTAGTCTAACAAGTATTGCTAAACTCTGCTTGTAAATACATTGCAATCTTTCTTCTCTATATTTACAGCACTCACTATAAAACTCTTTATATATAAATAAAATATATAGTATATTGAATATGTTAACTCCATTTTGACAGGGAATAGTAGCTGGCTAATGCAAGGGTTAGAGTAAAAGTGGTCAGCAAGCATAGGGTTAATGAGATAGCAGTTGGTATAGATAGGGTTAATGGGATAGCAGTTGGTATATAGATTGGGTTAATGGGATAGCAGTTGGTATATAGATAGGGTTAATGGGATAGCAGTTGGTATATAGATAGGGTTAATGGGATAGCAGTTGGTATATAGATGGGGTTAATGGGATAGCAGTTGGTATATACATAGGGTTAATGGGATAGCAGTTGGTATATAGATAGGGTTAATGGGATAGCAGTTGGTATATAGATAGGGTTAATGAGATAGCAGTTGGTATATAGATAGGGTTAATGGGATAGCAGTTGGTATATAGATAGGGTTAATGGGATAGCAGTTGGTATATAGATAGGGTTAATGGGATAGCAGTTGGTATATAGATAGGGTTAATGGGATAGCAGTTGGTATATAGATAGGGTTAATGGGATAGCAGTTGGTATATAGATAGGGTTAATGGGATAGCAGTTGGTATATAGATAGGGTTAATGGGATAGCAGTTGGTATATAGATAGGGTTAATGGGATAGCAGTTGGTATATAGATAGGGTTAATGGGATAGCAGTTGGTATATACATAGGGTTAATGGGATAGCAGATAGGGTTAATGGGATAGCAGTTGGTATATAGATAGGGTTAATGGGATAGCAGTTGGTATATAGATAGGGTTAATGGGATAGCAGTTGGTATATAGATAGGGTTAATGGGATAGCAGTTGGTATATACATAGGGTTAATGGGATAGCAGTTGGTATAGATAGGGTTAATGGGATAGCAGTTGGTATATAGATAGGGTTAATGGGATAGCAGTTGGTATATAGATAGGGTTAATGGGATAGCAGTTGGTATATAGATAGGGTTAATGGGATAGCAGTTGGTATATAGATAGGGTTAATGGGATAGCAGTTGGTATATAGATAGGGTTAATGGGATAGCAGTTGGTATATAGATAGGGTTAATGGGATAGCAGTTGGTATATAGATAGGGTTAATGGGATAGCAGTTGGTATATAGATAGGGTTAATGGGATAGCAGTTGGTATATAGATAGGGTTAATGAGATAGCAGTTGGTATAGATAGGGTTAATGGGATAGCAGTTGGTATATAGATAGGGTTAATGGGATAGCAGTTGGTATATAGATAGGGTTAATGAGATAGCAGTTGGTATAGATGGGGTTAATGGGATAGCAGTTGGTATATAGATAGGGTTAATGGGATAGCAGTTGGTATATAGATAGGGTTAATGGGATAGCAGTTGGTATAGATAGGGTTAATGGGATAGCAGTTGGTATATAGATAGGGTTAATGGGATAGCAGTTGGTATATAGATAGAGTTAGGGAGATGACAGTTGATATGTATAGGGTTAGGGGGGATAGCAGTTGGTATGTGTAGCGGAGTAGAAGGGGTTAATCCAAAGATGCTCCGCTGGAAACAAAGATTCAGCATACAGAAGAATAAAGACACAGCATAATCCCTCTCCCCAAGGACTAGACGACCCATAGTCTGGGAGTCAACTGGCACAATGCACAAGCTCTGTTTTTATGTGTTTTCCCCATGCAAGGGAGGTAACTTCCATAATTATTACAGTATCCAATCACATAGTCGGTACCTCCCCCACATCTCCTCCCCTTAGCTTAACAGTTAAACTTATTAAAATGTATATACTTTTCCCCAGGGTTAGGGGGATAGCAGATGGTATGAATAGGGTTAGGAGGATAGCAGTTGGTATGTATAGGGTTAATGGATGAGCAGTTGGTGTATATATAGTGTTAGGGAGATGGCAGTTGGTATCTATAGGGTTAGGGAGATGGCAGTTGGTATCTATAGGGTTAGGGAGATAGCAGTTGGTATCTATAGGGTTAGGGAGATGGCAGTTGGTATCTATAGGGTTAGGGAGATGGCAGTTGGTATCTATAGGGTTAGGGAGATAGCAGTTGGTATCTATAGGGTTAGGGAGATGGCAGTTGGTATCTATAGGGTTAGGGAGATGGCAGTTGGTATCTATAGGGTTAGGGAGATGGCAGTTGGTATCTATAGGGTTAGGGAGATGGCAGTTGGTATCTATAGGGTTAGGGAGATAGCAGTTGGTATCTATAGGGTTAGGGAGATGGCAGTTGGTATCTATAGGGTTAGGGAGATAGCAGTTGGTATCTATAGGGTTAGGGAGATGGCAGTTGGTATCTATAGGGTTAGGGAGATGGCAGTTGGTATCTATAGGGTTAGGGAGATGGCAGTTGGTATCTATAGGGTTAGGGAGATAGCAGTTGGTATCTATAGGGTTAGGGAGATGGCAGTTGGTATCTATAGGGTTAGGGAGATAGCAGTTGGTATGTGATGTGGAAATCAATCAATAAATTGATTATCTTGCGTATCTGCCCCCGGCCAAATTAAAGAAGTAATGCGTGCACGCTCCTGAAGTAATTCACACCAAACACAGGTTTCGGGTTAATGAAAAACTTGAGGAATGTTTATTCTGGGGGGGACGGCATGTCCCTTATAAAGCAATATTACATTATATGCATTGTCAGAGATAACATGGAGATACATCAATAATTGGTTAGGTGTTAAGTGGTTCATTTAGTGCCCTTCCTACCGGGTGTGATGTCACTGATATCTTGAGGTCTCCTCCAGATTCCAGCGCCATCTTGTTAATGAGGGTGTTAGTCGATGTTGAAGGGGAAACTCCCTAGTGGCCATTTTAGGTAAATCACATAGAAAGTTGAATAATGCTGATTGTGGTTATACTGAGTAAATAGGCATTTTACTGATATAAATTGGGTTAATATTTTTGTCCACAACAGTATGTATAGGGTTAGGGGGATAGCATTTGGTATATATAGTGCTAGGGGGATAGCAGTTGGTATGTATAGGGTTAATGGATGAACAGTTGGTATATATAGTGTTAGGGAGATAGCAGTTGATATATTTATGGAGTTGGTATGTATAGTGTTAGGGAGATAGCAGTTGGTATATATAGGGTTAGTGGGATAGCAGTTGGTATGTATAGGGTTAGGGGGATACGTTCGCCACTTGTGCCTGGAGGGGACTACTGGCTAGCCTCCTGCCTTCTGACTATGGCCCCTGTGCTGATAGCTGTATTTCACTCTGCAGAAAGGTTTATTTGTGTATTTCTGCTGGGGCATTCAGGACTTTCAGTATGTGAGTAGTGCAACCCCAGATAGCTATGCCATGGAGCCTATTCGTGTAACGAAAAACTATGGAAAAGACTTTGGCTCCATGGCAATTGAACTGTATGTAGGTGATCTGAGCGCCATTCGGTAATTATGTGCGCTCAGATCTAAGCTATCTGGGGATATGTTGCATGTATATGTTTTATGTAGTAATTGTAACATTGTGTAATTTTATATCTTTTTGTAACCATGTGGTTAATGGAGTCTTGCCTCTGTCCTGGGAGATAATTTGATTACTTCCCAATTATCTCCAGGATAGAGAGGAGGGATTGTGATGTCACTGTGGGAGTGTTTTGTTTGTATTGTTTGTGATTGGCTAATATCCAATACGTGTCCCATTGTTCCATCAGGTCCCATAGGGAGTGTCCACCTGGTGGACACTTGCATAAATACCGGGCAGGTAGCCCTCAATAAACCAGACCTACTTGCACCTTTCTTGCGCCTTGGCTCATGCTTGGGGGAAGGGATACCTACACTCTGGGGATTGCTATAATCACTTACTCTGCTACACTCTCTGGATTTAGGAGAGGTTCACCCACTGGGAGCTGGATTCTGGTCGTGGATCCAGGGTGGGTGAGAGATGGCGAGACCCCGGCGCAGCTGCATCGCTGGAAGTGGGATCCGCAGTGCTGATGTGTCGGAGTCCTCGGAAAGCGCTAGGAGCATCGATTTGCGGAGGTACTCGTTGGAGTGCCAACGGTCCATCACATTTGGTGGCAGCGGCGGGATGGCGTCCTCGTGCGAGGACCAGCAGCTCGGAGACACCGGTAACGTGTGGAGTTACGGATTTATAATTGAGGGCTGTGGCAAACCTAGCCACTTCAGATTATGCTATTATATGTCTACAGGTTGTCCTAGAGAAGCTGGTCCAATTCTGTTAGTTTATGTATTTGTCTATACCTGTAATAAAGAGCATTCATATGCTAACAGCTGAAAGCCGCTAGCATTCAAATGGTAGTTTCATGAACAGTGACTTTCAACACTGTTCGTGAAACAAACAAAGTACTGAATGGGAACCCACACACAGGGGGTCGTGTGACTCCCATTAACCAGTTGCAACATTGTATCAATCGGCTGCTAATTGATTTCCCGGGTGGCCGTCGTTCGGCTACCGACCACGCGGCGGGCATCTTGGATTTCCTTTTAGCCCAGCGGTGTTTGGTCGTCGAGTGCCTGGAACTAAAATCGGCTACTCAATGGCGCGAACACCGCTGGACTTCCAGGCCGTTCGGGAGTGCCGGTCTTTCGGTACTTTCTTCCAACCTATGTATTCGTGACTTTCTGAAAAGTTGGTGGTAAAATGTATTTTGTGCGGCGTTCAGTTAATTATGCTGGCATCTGAGCGGTACTTTCCCAAAGTGTGTGCTCAGACTCCAGCAATCTGCCGAACGGTCATTAGGTACAATGGCATGAAGAAAGTATAAGTTACATATTTTTGTGTGAAAAGCCGGTTCTGCTGTACGGAGGGATAATACACTTAACAAGATATTCTTGTGGGAGTATTCTC